CTCTGGTGGAGTCACGCCGCAATATCTGGCTATTGTTGGACTGTCAGGGAATATTCCATTGAACACCTGTCCTTAGTTCAAATTTAATACAGAATTAGAAAAATACAAAAGAGACACCGTTACTCCCAATGAATCATTCTGCATTCAGAGATCCATCTACGTCATACTTTGAGAATAGATCTCTGTCCTAAATGGCCGCCATATTAAAAAATAAGTAAACCGTTTTGTTTAGGTCTGTCAGACACACAAACACTTAAAGGGACAATAACACTCTTGCTGGCTTGACAGCTCCAGAAAATAAAAAAATAGCCTTATTCTAAGTACTAGATGTTTAAGTGTCCTACCTGTTGTGTAAATTATCCATTACATCCTATTTTACTTGTCCAGAGGATTCAAACATATTTTTAAATCGAAGTTTCATTTGAAAAGGTTTACGTTAGACGTTTCAAACCATCATGTTGAATTTTTCACAATTTTTAAATAAGGTGTGTTAAGATGAAATTTGTATCATCAATTAATTGAAATATTGTAAAATAGTACAATTTGTTGACCAGAATAAAGATTGGGACATATTATTCAGTTACAACAAGAGTGGTATTGAGCCTTTAATAAACTTTTTCAGTTTTATTTAATGAAAGCAGAATAAATACTTCTCAAAATTCTCGAAGTATGCTAAGCGTTTTCGACTAAAATCGTCGATTAAGGACTTAAAATGACGGTCAACTAGCTTAGTGTCTGTTCTAAAGCCGAGCTGACTGTAGACAGACATCCTAAGTTTAGTATGCCAATGAATATTAAAAAACAGAAGGCCCAAACATTCAAAACTTTTAACTGTCGGTCAAAGATCTTTTAGTATTCAGGCACCTGCTTTATGGAATAAGTTACCATATGACACAGGTCCTGTAATAATCCTAATACTTTTAAGAAAAAACTAAAAACCCATCTATTTCTCCCAGCTTTTTAGATAAACATGTATATATATTGAAATTTTTTATGGACTCATTAGTATTGACTGTATTGTATTGTTTAATTTTATGATTTCATAATTCTATATTTGTTCCATTGTAAAGCACCCTTGAACACGTTTATGGGAAAGTGAGCTATAACAAATATTTGTAATAGTAATAATAATAATAATAATAAAAATAATATCATTAACAGATGATTACTTTACCTGTACATAATCGAGACGACATTGTGATGAACTCTCTAATCTAAAATCGTTAAAGCGGAGAGAAATACGCCGCCCATACTGAACTCGAATTTTCCACGTACACCTCCGATTATGTGCATAGAGACCTGGGAAATTTGGTGAGGTAAAAGTTCCTGTTGGGGTTGTAAGATCTCCACCGCATGCTAAAAATAGTCAAAATAAAAAGTATATAAATATTAATATTTACTCAATAGAATTTCTGAGCCCAAAAAACAATTGAATGGAGCAATAGGAGAGAGAGAGAGAAATGGAGTTTAACGTCCACTCGACACAAACTAGGTCATTTCGGGACTAACATATGGTTTAATTTTATTTACATAATTCGCTTGCGCGTATGGGTCTTTAGCAGTGGGAGGAAACCGGAGGACCCGGAGAAAACCCACGAGGTTGGACAGGCGACCTTACTCCTTGCCACGTACAACCGGGGATTCGAAACCACGCCAGTCGACTCAATGACAGACTTTATGATACAGCGCGCGCCCGCTAACCGTTCAGCCATCCAACCCCCCTGGAGCAATAGGACTCTAAAGATACATAATGAAAGATTTAGATAAAAAGCTGACCGTTCTTGCTATAATAGTTATATTAGAGATGCATTATGTACGAATTAGAGCTGACAGGCCTCACTATTATGTACGAATAAGATAAAGAGCTGGCATGCCTCACTATTATGTACGAATTAGATAAAAAGCTGGCAGGCCTCACTATTATGTACGAATTAGATAAAGAGCTGGCATGCCTCACTATGATGTACGAATTAGATAAAGAGCTGGCATGCCTCACTATTATGTACGAATTAGATAAAGAGCTGGCAGGCCTCACTATTATGTACGAATAGGATAAAGAGCTGGCATGCCTCACTATTATGTACGAATAAGATAAAGAGCTGGCATGCCTCACTATTATGTACGAATTAGATAAAGAGCTGGCATGCCTCACTATTATGTACGAATAAGATAAAGAGCTGGCATGCCTCACTATTATGTACGAATTAGATAAAGAGCTGGCAGGCCTCACTATAGTAGTTCAAAGATAATAAAAAAATACTTTATTCTGAGTGAAGTTGTGAATATTTGAAGTTTTGACAAAATGTAGCCTAGATTATTTCCCTAGAAAGTTGTTTATAGATTTGTCATGTGAATAATTGCCTAAATAATAATTTATATAACATTTGAAATAGTCAGATTTAGCTCTTACATAATGCAGCTTTAAAGTAAAAATTTTCATGCGTTAATCCACGCTAAAATTGATTATTGAACATTTAAATGCGAAAACAGAATCGACGGTTTATAATCTCTTAATCTCTCAATCTTTTTAACGAATACAAGTATAAAAACTTACTTTCAACACTGGCCTGGAAAATGACGCTAAATCCCATAGCAGATGTGGCCGAGTTAGATTTAAATCTGAGGTAAGCGACACTATCGGATGTATCTACAGGTGTCGGTATTGTTGCTCCACATCTTTTCATCAACAAATTACCTATACAACACAGGTATATCAAATTACAGGTAATAAAACAACAGGTAAATCAAATTACAGGTCATAAGACACAGGTAAATCATATTACAGATAATAAAACACAGGTAAATGAAATTACAAGTGATAAAAACACCTTGTATAATACTTAAATGTAATAACTATTATCCCACCTGTCGCATTGGCATCTCTGATCTGTAAAAAGTCATTAGTACAGTTATTTGATGTTTCCAGGGTGAAAGCCGTGAAGGTGAAGGTGATATAATGACCTGTTGGAACATTGATATACCATTCACAATCGCTGTTATCACCATAGTTACTGGGATAGTTGGGACTAGTTATTGTATGTCTATTACCGTTTATAGTACCACCACACGTTGCTAGGTAACATAAAAAACATCACAAAATCAATATATCATCAATCAATCACAATAGAAAAATGATTGCGTTTTTTTTAGTACCACAATTAAGAGGATCTATCTACGTTGTTTATTTTCAGAAAAATCAAAGCAGTTACCCGTAGCTTCACTGCTTTTAAATTTGAAATAAGGATTTGTGAGAAAATAATTGGAATTCGATATAAGAGTAGGCCGTAGTGCCGCTGTCCGGGCAAAATTTCCCTCATAGCACACTGTATGGCGTATGCCATTCTTCATTAGCACAGTTTGGAGCAGAACAGTAGAACGTTAAACCCCATTTCATTTCATTTCATTTTTGCCTGCCATGGGTATCAGGCGACAAGTCCACCTTATCACGTGGCAAGCCCTGGGTATCAGAAGTCGTTAGTGGAGTCATTAATCATCACAGCTGACCTGAGTTACGTAAGATCCTTGGTCCGGTAAAGCAATTAGACCAGGAGCCCAGGTGGCCAACCTAGCTGAAAAGTGTACCAACGACGGACAGGTGTTATATTTCAGACTATATTATGGCCGGACGTTGCAGCTGGTTATTATATAATAACAGGTTAAGCTTACAGTACAGATTTAGAACGGGAGCCCAGGGTGTTAACCTAGCTGAAAAGTGTACCTTTTTTCTCCTATATGGTATCAATGCATGTATATCTGGTATCATCAGAATGTAAGTCTGCCGGGTTTCCGGTGGTGAGTGTGGTATTCCACGCCCAAAATGCCATGCACCCCAACTAGGCTAGATTAGCTCAAAAATGTACCACATGAAAATCGTACAGCAGTGTACCGTACATTCTCAGGTGTTACAAAATCACTCTAACAGACATTTCTAGTAGTGGGTTACCCCTGACAGAGCTATGTAATTGTCAGACATTTGTAGTGGTAGAGAATCCCTGACAAGAGTTATCTAATTTCCAGTCCACAGCTAGGCTAGATTAGTTGAAAATCTGTACCACCTAAAATAGCTTTGGAGTTGTTCAGTATCACCACAGGAATCATGAATGACTATTCCACACCCACCACCAGAAACCCGGCAGACTTACATTCTGATGATACCAGATATACATGCATTGATACCATATAGGAGAAAAAAGGTACACTTTTCAACTAGGTTAACCCCCTTGAGCTCCCGTTCTAAATCTGTACTGTAAGCATAACCTGGTATTATATAATAACCAGCTGCAACGTCCGGCCATAATATAGTCTGAAATATAACACTTGTCAGTAGCTGATTGGTCAAAAACCATTCCAGACTGAATGCTGACCAATCAGGTCAGTGTGGTATCTGGAATTCAAGGCTGGACATCGATCTTACCCAGTACTATATAAGACCAGATAAAACGATTTTGGTCAAGCCAGGCCAGAGACCCGAGCTGGGAACAAGACTACTACCAGACGAAGAACCTGTTAACTAAGTATTGTAGAACAAGTCTTGTAGATATGTTTAAAGAGGAATAAAAATATTACATGAAATGCAAACCTAACATAAAGACCCAATAGCGTAACACAAGCCCTCTATATCACGTGACAAACCCTGGGTAACAGATTATTTGTAGTTAGCCCTGGATATCAGTTTGTTCGTAGAAAGCACTGGATATCCCGTGGCAAGCCCTTCTTGGTATCAGATGGCAAGCCCTGAGTATCACGTGTAAAGTCTTGGGTATCACGCGACAATCCCTGGGTGTCATTACAGAAGGCCTTGGTATTAGATGGCAAGCCCAGGGTATCAGATTGTAAGGCCTTGGTATCAGATGAAAAGGCCTGGGTATCAGGTTATCTACAAGGTTAACATATGTAACTCACCAATCTTATATTTGGCCTTAAAGCCCACGCGTGGTAGACTGTTATCGGTACGGAACCTAGCGTATAAAACATTTCCTGTAGACCGAATCGTTCCTGGTGCTGTACTACCACAATATCTCCGGTTGTTGACAAGAGCAGAGTTTTCTGTACCTCCGTCGCGGAATTCAATATAGTTATATGGACACCTACAAAATATTAAAAAGAGGAGACGATACCTTAATGAAATACAACCATTAATTTAACATCCACAAACTAGTTCATTTCGGGACAAATATACAACTCAATTTTATTCCAATAGTTCGTCTTAGCGTAGGGGTCTTTAGCAGTGGGAGGAAACCAGAGATCCCGGAGATAACCCGGCAATGAAACATACACCACTTAACTCAATGACAAACCATGATCCAACGTGGTAAGCCTTCAGCTACCAAACTGACAGGATGGGCATATGCCAGGCGGAGTATTATGAGATAAAGAGACTGACGGGACGGGTAAATCTTCAACAAGTCAATCTTGCTGCCACTCATTCCAGACTGATAGAAATGATTGAAAGGTGCACCTGCAAAAATATGAATAAAAATAATAATACCTGATATGAAATTCAATACTAAATGGTCCCTCGAAATCCACCTGCACACTTTCTCCACCTGGTGCCATTATTAAATTGATACAATCCACATTATGTGGGTAGTTTTTTGGATAGTTAGGCGACATGAAGTAGCCGCTAGTCACCGAGTTCGTTAAAGTTAACCGGCCTCCACATGTCACTTTAACTTTGCTGTAGATCATCGAGAACCCGCTTCCGCTGGTAGATGCGTCGGATATAAAATTAACATATAACAGATTGCTGCTTGTCTCTAGTGCACTCGGTAAACTGTTGCCATAGTAACGACCATTTCCACTTTTGTCTGTGCCGTTGCCAAGGGGAGGTGATGCCGAGTTTCCTCCATTCAACAACTACAAATAAAGATTATATCGAAAAATGCGGATAACGATTATTCCTTGGCTCCTGTGATGGCCGAAAAAACGAGCTAGAGAAATGGGGTTTCACATCCACTCGACACAAACTAGGTCATTTCTAGACTAATACATGATATTGATATTCATATTTAATTAATTATTTAGCACATAAGGGTCTTTAGCAGCGGGGGAGGGGGGCGGAGAAAACCCATGAGGATCGACAGGCGATCCTACTCCTTGTCACATAGAAGCAGGGGCTCGAAGCACGTCACTTGACTTATGATCTTATGTGTTAACCATTCGGCCCCCCGTTGGGCGAGAAAGTACCTCTATTTATTTTTGACCATTCGGAGTATCAAGGTACAATCCCTGTAAACATACAGCTGAATATCTCAGAGGACTATCCGTCCAAATATCAGTATTTACAAATGAAATGAAATGGAAAGTGGTTTTATGGCACGTCAGCTCCAACTGGGATATATTGCACCAAAAGTATTTACAAAGAAAGAATGCAGATCACATATTGTATATAGTATCGGCAACATTCAGCGTCCTCTACAGATCATATATTGGATATAGTGTGGGCAACATTCAGCATCCTCTACAGATCACATATTGTATATAGTTTGGGCAACATTCAGCATCCACTACAGATCATATATTGGATATAGTATCGGCAACATTCAGCATCCTCTACAGATCATATATTGGATATAGTGTCGGCAACACTCAGCATCCTCTACAGATCATATATTGGATATAGTATCGGTAACATTCAGTATCGTCTACAGACCACATATTGGATATAGTGTCGGCAACAGATCATATATTGGATATAGTGTCGGCAACACTCAGCATCCTCTACAGATCATATATTGGATATAGTGTGGGCAACATTCAGCATCCACTACAGATCATATATTGGATATCGTGTCGGCAACACTTAGCATCCTCTACAGATCATATATTGGATATAGTGTCGGCAACATTCAGCATCCACTACAGATCATATATTGGATAATGTCTGGGCAACATTCAGCATCCCCCGTACACCATATATTGGATATAGTATCGGCAGGGGCACCAGAACATTTTTTACTAGTCTATTCATTTTTAAATAATAGATATGTAATTGCCCTCTGGTCGGTCGCGAACCGGCTCTTGCACTCTCATTATCAACTATCAGTGCATGCCTTGGCTGAATATGAGCTCTTGCTAGAATCGTGTCTCTAAATAAATCTACTGTCTCGTTCAAGAAGCTTATTCTATTTTCTTGATGAAGATTGGTGTATTGATTGTCAAATTAAAAAGAATTTTTTATGAGGAAATTGCTCATGATACGAAAATTGTGAATAATCAGGCTTTTGTCTCTTTCATTACCATGAATTTTAAAGAGTTTTATGTTGGAATTTGGAATGCTAGAGGTGCTCTAAACAGCCTTCTCGGAATTGACAAATTTCAAAATTTTCTAGAGGCCGAGGGGGGGGGGGGGGGAGGAGAGACCCCCGGACCCACTATCGTTTGGTACCCTGGCCCGCGCCCCGTTTCGGCGCCCCTGAGAGGTTATTTACCACTGATGTTTTGTTTTCTTCATCAAACATTAAAAAACGATTTGTGTTTGAGGTTGGAAAAAAAAGTGAAAAAATGCGAATGGTGATCAGTGACTTTCACCGCGATCAACCGAGATCAAGCTCAGACTTTATCCTATTCTAGGGAATTTATGTTCATTGAATCAATTTTCAAAATGTGTATAGTGCCCCAATCTTTTTAAAACACAGATCCTATTTCGTTTCGTTTTTATAGTTCAAAATTTGGTTTTACTCATCTTTACTACACTAGGATCTGGAAGAGTGGTTTTCATTGACGTGTTCTGAATGATGTGAGGGATTAGCCAATGAAGCGGTCTGTTACGGCGAGCTTTAGGCGTGTTTTGCACGGAACTGTTGGTAATCCACTAGTAACATCAATGCCCATTGGTTAATCAAAATTAATTTCTGACGTCAAAGCCGCTCGTATGACCTCTGACGCGAACTATCGCTACAACCGATCAGAACTTTATGCGGTGTAGGCCATCGAAAGTATAAAAAAAAACGAAACGAAAATATAGATCAGATTGATATCCTCCACTAACTAGGACGTAATCATTTCCGGGAAGGTTGAATGTTCCGTTAAACCTGGCCCTGACTGTTCGACCGTTCACCATTTTAATAGTCCAGCTACAGTTCTGATTGGCTGGATAGTTACCAGGGTAACCAGGTGATTTGATTACACCTGTTAATTGACCCTCTATAGATCCACCACAAGCTACAAATATACAATTATTAACCACCATTATTTTTAATGTTTTGGATGCAAGAGCATTCAGAATTTTCTACAAGACAAAACGAAATAAATTATTACAAAGTGGAATTGTGTGTAATGTCCTATTTTTCAACTCCATCACAATGGTTATTTACAAGTCATATTGATAGAATATATGGTCGCTATGGTTACTAACCAGTCATATAATTATGTTTATAAAAGATATGGTGGCTTTGGTTATCAACCTGTAATACAATTTTATTGATTTAAGCTTTTAAAAGATATGGTAAATATGGTTACTAACCAGTCATATAATTATGTTTATATTGTTGCTATGGTTACTAACCAGTCATATAATTATGTTTATATCGTTGCTATGGTTACTGACCTGTCATATAATTTTGTTTATATTGATGCTATGGTTACTGACCAGTCATATAATTATGTTTATATTGTTGCTATGGTTACTGACCTGTCATATAATTAAGAGAGAATCCTGCTTTATTGACTGATACATCTGTTTTAAATCTAATGGCCAATCTGTTGGTGGTGGCTGTTATCAGAGCAGTATTTCTAGTACGACCACAATAATTACCTAGGTTACGGCGTCCAGTGTCTACACCTGTTGGCAAAAAAAAATACAAAAAATAATCATATAACTATTTTAATTTCATATTTCTATAATTTAATCCATGGACATTTGGAAAAGAAAGTAAAGTTTATTTAAATATAACGTAAAATGCCTTCATAAATAGTGTAAGTTCAGCAGAACCACACACCATGCCAAACGATACCAACACGAAACTACACACGCATTTCAAGAAATAAACAATAAATTAATAACAAATCAAGTGAATGGATATGGGGGCTAGCCGTAAGAATCCACTGTGCTGTACAGTCCAGGGCTTCACTCAAAATGAACAAGCGGTTGTCATGCAAGATACGCCCACATTTTGCAAGAGATGGACAGAGAACGAGCTAAAAAGAATAAAGTGAATTTTTGTACAATCAGGGGCCATAATCGATGAAGTTACGGTTAGATATGCGCGCATATCTAAAGTAAACGCGATCTTTTGGTTATCAACATACATTGCAAGTTTCATTAAAATCGGATAAGAATTGTCACTTCTAGAGAGTCCATAACCTTGGTATTACATACTTTTACACTCTTTGCGTACAGGGAGTGGCCATTACGTCTGGCAGTTTCGGTCCGATTGTCGGTACGACTGTCACGAAATTCGAACTCAACCATCATTAAGGTGTAACGGTGATATATTTAAGCAGTTTTTTTTTAAATCGGATAAACAAAATGTATCCTCTAGGGGATCACAAACCCAAAACGCGATTTATTGTACAATCAGGGGCCATAATTCAGGAAATTGCGATCTGATAGGCCTATGCGCGAATATCGAAAAAAACGAGATCTTTGGGTTATAAACATACATTTCAAGTTTCATCTAAATCGGATAAATTTGTGACCTCTAGAGTGTCCACACGCTAAAATCCTGATTTGTCGTACAATCAGGAGCCATAATCCATGTATTTTAGATCCGATACCTGCCAATATCAAAAGGAAACAAGATCTTTTGGAGATAAACCTATATTTAAAGTTTCGTCAAAATGGGATAAGAATTGTGACCTGCATAGTGTTTACAAACAAATTGTGGACGGACGGGCGGACGGACAGGGGCGACGACAATTTACATATAAAAATAGTTTAAAACTTACCATCAAAGAAAGAGACAGCATCATATCTACAGATACCATGTACCTCTAAATCTATATCTGTTATATTCACCGCTACACGAGTACCTAATGGTGAGTGGATAACCCAAACACAATTTAAACTATACTATTCAAAAAAAGTAGGGGATATTTGATTTTGGGGGCATAATACTAAAATATGCAAATGACTACGAAAAAAGCCACTATATAACCTAACAGAAGAAACATTTCTAGTTACATGTGACGCCCAAACGCACCAATAGCTACCGCATGGAATGCAGGTGATGCTTGGGATCATCATGGGGGTCCAACCCAAGATTTGCACGACTCTGACTTTGAATGTTACAGTCATTGTGGCATTGAATTCCAGGGTGGAAACATCAGTTTAATTGTTTTAGTGACCAGAAAACAAATTTTGATATGCGTCGGCTTACCCAAAATGAAAGGTTACGTGCCCTTGGCATGCTACAGATCGGCACAACACAGGCGGTTGTGGCGCGAACGATGAATGTTTCTCAGTCTGTCATAAGCAGGCTATGGTCCAGATACCGTGATACACAATCTGTACAGGACAGACCACGCTCAGGTCGACCAAGGGCGACAACTCAAGCCCAGGATCGATTTATCCGTACCTTGGCCTTGAGAAATCGTGTCATCACAGCAAATCAGATCAGCGCTCGTCTTCAAACAGACACTGGTGTGAGAGTGAGTGGCCAGACGATTCGGAATCGACTGCATAGGGGTCACCTTCGCGCCCGACGTCCTCGCGTGATCCCTTGTTTGAGAGATCATCACATTCAGGCAAGACGTCGTTGGTGTAGGGATCGTCAACACTGGGATAATCGACGCTGGAGCAATGTGATGTTTTCAGATGAGTCAAGGTTCACTGTTGATTTTTTGGACAGACGTAGGAGGGTGTGGCGTCGTCGAAACGAGCGCTTCCAAGACGTTAACGTCATCAGACATGATCGATTTGGGGGTGGTTCTGTTATGGTGTGGGGAGGCATCACTGTTGCTGGAAGAAAGGCTTTACATGTTGTTGCAGGGCGTGTTACAGGCCAGTACCACCGGGACAACATCTTGGCAGTCCATGTTGTGCCGTTCGCACGACGTCATGGCCGCCGTTTCATCTTCCAGGATGACAACGCAAGATGTCACAGGGCCAGGATCGTTACAGGTTACCTCCAACAACAGAACATCACCACATTACCTTGGCCAGCACTGAGTCCCGACCTCTCCCCCATCGAGCATGTCTGGGACATGCTTGGACAGAGGTTACGTCAACGTCAACAACGTCCTGCCAATGTCCAAGAACTTGCTGCTGCGTTGCAACAGGAATGGGACAATCTGGACCAAAATGACCTTAGACGTCTCATTAGGAGTATGCCACGTCGGATCAATGCTTGTTCGGCAAACAGAGGAGGATTTACCCGTTACTGACTTGGTTGTGATGCTGTGGTAACTTTGCTGTTTGACCCCGGGTATCATTTTACCCTTATAATGGTCAGTCTGTGCCTTACTTAGTCTAACGATCATTTGGAATAAATCGATGAATGTGAACTTCATTTCATTTTGTCATTTGTTTCTTCGTCAGTTTCATTAGGTGACTTTAATAACACTTAAAAATCAAATATCCCCTACTTTTTTTGAATAGTATATGTGGATAACCGCCTGGATAACCAGGTGATTGAAGAGTCTGGGCATTATGTGTTGCGTAAAGAGTTCCACCACATCCTGGAACTGTTGGATAGAAATAGAATTAGGTCAAAATAATGTCATTACACAACAAACATTGTATTTAGTATACTCATTTATTTATGATTTAAAGAAACAGGCACATTCATGACAAGAGGATCCAAAAAGCTAAAACGCGATTTTTCGTGCAATCAGGAGCCATAATCCAGGAAGTTACGATCGAATGTGCACGAATATTGACAGGAACCAAGATCGTTGGGATATAACCATTTATTTTAAGTTTCATCAAAAGCGGGTAAAAACTGTGACCTTTAGAGGGTCTAGAGGCTCTAAATTTTCGATTCTGTAATGGACATCTATCTATATTGCTTAAAAATTCCAATATGAGTTAATGGCGCGATTGGTGAGCGATTCAGGTGATCCTTCCAGTAGACGTTATGAGCGTTACAGAGCACAAGCACGCCCGATATAAACTTATCTAGGAATATAAATACCTTGTGTGGTTCCTGGTGCCGGGGTCGTGGAGCTGATAGGTACATCTGACGTAGCTTGCCAATTCAACAAGAAACCATTTCCATTGGAGTACCTATCAGTGTGAAAAACAACTTGCATCTGATTGGATGTGCTAATAATAGGATCGGGGATATTCGATCCACAATAACGAATCAACTCGGGACTGTCAGACGCCCCACCATCTAAAATCTGAATATAAATAATATTGATAGCAAAACAAAAACAGTGTTCGGGGTTTTCGATGCGATCTTCCCATATAAGTAGTGATATCGATTGTTCTAGAAGGAACAGATCATCAGATCTACATTACATCTGCCCACTCCTAATATGGTGTTATACAGAATGATACATCTTTCCACTACTAATATGGTGTTATACAGAAAGATAAATCTGTCCACTCCTAATATGGTGTTATACAGAATGATACACCTGTCCGCTCTTAATATGGTGTTATACAGAATGATACATCTGTCCACTCCTAATATGGCATTATACAGAATGATACATCTGTCCACTCCTAATATGGCATTATACAGAATGATACATCTGTCCACTCCTAATATGGTGTTATACAGAATGATACATCTGTCCACTCCTAATATGGTGCTATACAGAATGATACATCTGTCCACTCCTAATATTAACCAAATTACCATTGACAGTCCCTTTATTGTGTTACGGCCATCTTAATGTCTTAAGATTATATATTGTGGATGGTCTAATTCATTCAATATCTCGTCCACTCCATGGTCTAGAGAGTTGATTATATAGTGTGGGTGGTCTAATCTATCCAATATCTTGGCCATCTCATAATCTAGAGAGTCGATTATCTAATCCATTCAATATCTCGGCCACTTGATGGTATAGAGAGTTGTTTATCTAAGCCATTCAATATCTTGGTCACCTTATGGTCTAGAGAGTCGATTATCTAATCCATTCAATATCTTGGTCACCTTATGGTCTAGAGAGTTGATTATCTAATCCATTCAATATCTCGGTCACCTGCTGGTCTAGAGAGTCGATTATCTAATCCATTCAATATCTCGGCCACCTGATGGTCTAGAGAGTCGATTATCTAATCCATTCAATATCTCGGCCACCTGATGGTCTAGAGAGTCGATTATCGAATATTCAATATCCCTGCCATTTGATTGTCTAGAGGGTTGGGTGGGTTAAATGTCTAAATAATCATTTATATAATATTTGATGCCAAAATAAAAATAAGCAATAGACATATTTAGCTCTTACATAATGCATCTTTAAAAAGGGTGGAGTCTGATCAGGGGCATCTATAATTTTTCTATTAAATAGACATTCTATTAGACCTTGTTTGAGAGAGAGAGAGAGAGAGAGAGAGAGGGAGAGAAAGAGAGAGAGAGAGCACCACTGGATTCAATGACAAACTTTACAATCTAACACGCACTCATTAAACCATTCAGCCACCCAACCCCTCATTAAATTTACACAGAGGGAGACTAAGATTCGGCTACCCAACCCCCTCCCCCACTCATTCAATTGACAGGAAACAAACAAACAGAAACGTTTACCTTGACATAATTCCAGACACACACCGAACCTCTTGGTCCCTCCACATTAAATGCTGTAAATGATATACGTATTCTCATACCAACAGGGGCAGTAACTTTCCATGTACTGTCAGAGCTGTGTGGGTAACGGCCTGGGTAGAGAGGGGAGGAAATCTGCCCAGAACTACCCGACAAATCACCACCAAAAACTAGAAATAGAAATAGTAGGCGTCAGTTTTAAAATTATAAATAACTTTTGAATATTTTATTGAACATAATACCTAGAATGCAAGTTACACCACTTTGCCGGAAACCTTGTGAACATGATACACGTTTTAGTTTTTAATGGATGTTTTTTTAATTTTGGTTGGAAATGAAATAGGGTTTAACATCCTATTTATCTGCACTGACGCTAATGATGAAGTGCAGTCAGTCTGCTCCCAGTGTGCAGACAGTCTGCTCCCAGTGTGCATACAATATGCTCCCACTGTGCATGCTCCAACTGTGCAGACAGTCTGCTCCGACTGGGCTCATAAAGACGTGCATACAGTCTGCTATGAGGTAAATTTTCGAATTCCAACTATCAAGGGCTCTTTTACGTGCATTCCAACCCGAACAACAAGAACACTTCCGCCCTGCACTACTTGGAGCAAACCGGGCACTTGCTGGTTAGCTAGCCAGTGTTTATACACTGAGCTACTACAGCTCCCTGTCAAGTTGATACCGCTGACTTAGGGTACTGGACACACGGCAAGACTGTTTCACGTTGGAGTCCTGGTGTCGACTGAGAACCATCTCTTTTCATTTCATGTGTCATTCCTTTAGTTTAAACATATTCCATTTACACATATCAATAGGATTGGGAACAGTTTGGGCTGAGAAAAAATCTCTTCTCATTCCTTAAGTTTAAACATATGCAATTAGCATATATCAAAAGGATCGGACAAAGTTTCAAATTATAGAATTTTTTACAAGCTGAATAGTATTACCGGAATTATACTCCCCAACAAATCCGGTGCCTGTTGTTAAATTGTTCGATCGGAATTTCATCCATATTCCATTAGCTGTCGTTACATTAGAAGGTATTGATGAACCACAATATCGGCCAATCAAACTACCTGCTGCATTTACTTGTCGAATCTCTACGTAATCGGAAACACATGATGGACTCGATTCTATGTTAAAAACACTGAAATATAAACAGACGTCAGCCCAGGGGTCAGTATTACGTCTTTTATGTTTAAATCTAAAGAGAGGTAACAGATATGCAGGACTACCTCAGGGGTCAGTATTAGATTCCTTTGTTAAAATCTACAAAAAGGTATACCGATATACAGTATTAGGTTCCTTATGTTAATATCTACATAAATTTATAAAGATATGCAGGACTACCTCAGGGGTAAGTATTAGGTCCGTTCTGTTAGAATATGCAGGACTACCTGGGGTGTCAGTATTAGGCCCCTTATGTTAAAATCTACAGAAATTTATAAAGATATGCTGGTCTACCTCAGGGGTCAGTATTAGGTCCGTTATATTAGAATCTACAGAATGGTATAAAAAATATGCAGGACTACCTGAGGTGTTAGTATTAGCCCCTTAATGTTAAGATCTACAGATTACCTTAGGGGTCAGTATTGGGTTGGTATTAGGTCCCTTGTTTTAAAATTTACAGAAAGGTTTAAATATATGCAATATCATCTTGAATGAAAATTTATTGAAAGTTGAAGAGTATGCATGACTACTTTGGGGTTTACTATTAGACCCCTTGAGTGACAATTACTGACAGATCATAAAGTTTTAAGACAGTATGCAACATCACCTGACAGACCAGTTCTTATCCCTTTATTTAATAATGGGCTACTTTAGGGATTAGAATTTTTAAGTGCAAAAAGCTTCAAGATCCAAAATAAGCTCTTGTTAAATAGTGAAAATAAAGTTTTTCTTCAAGAAAATCCATGGTCTAGAATGTAGTATGTCGTTTTAACTAGGGTTACCCTATCCCTCCCAACTTGGATTCAGTTGATTTAAAGAGACATCCATCAGAGGATGCCAAATGTTGCAGTATTTTAATTCACTATATATTTGTTAAAATTGAATGGAATTTAAAGATTTTTTGGGCCCATACCCCCTTTAGAGTTTCATCTTTGACAATATTGTAGTTTTTAAGGGACTTAAAATGACGATCAACGATTTTAACTTTTATTAGAAAAATATAATTATCTTAGATTATCCAGACGTACCTGAATGATATCAAGATACTATTACCAGGTGAAGACTGGATTGTCCAGACACATTCTGTAGCTGCAGGGTAACTATTGGGATATGAAGGACTGGTAAATGAACCACTTTGAGCTGTAAACACACCACCACAACCTAGAATGGTAATAATTAATTTTTTGTTTTTCTTTAAATAGCATTAAGTAATTGACAAGCATAAATAAAATAAAAATAACTATATGGAATAACAATAACAGCGACGTTTCAACTTGGCTTCTCTTATCTCTATTATGAACCAGAAGGAATTTAGTAATTGACAAGCATAAATAACAGCCGACGTTCCAACTTGGCTTCTCTCATCTCTATCATAAACCAGATGGAATCAGTCCCGGAATATTACCTGGGCTAATGAAAACAGGCATACGCCATACAGTGTGCTATGAGGACAGTTTCGCCAGGAAAGTGGTGCTACGGCCTACTGTTATGTCGAATTTCCATTCTCAATGGTTCTTTTATTTGTACGTAAATGTGTATACGTGCCTCGCGTACTGGAAGCAAATTTAATCTAGGTGGCCCTGATGCATATGCAAGTCAGCAAACTTTACCGGAAGTATAATATGAAAAATGACGATGTGCACCTATTTTGGTGTATTGAGAACACGATTTGCTACATAACATAAAAATATAGGTGACTCTAAAGCCATAGTCTTGTAAATACATGAACAGGTGACCTTGAACCCAGAGTCATGTAAATATACGTGACCCTGAACCCAGAGTCTTGTAAATATAGCTGAACCTGAAGCCAGAGTCTTGTAAATATTGGTGACTCTAAAGCCAGAGTCTTGTAAATATACTTACTAGAAGCAGACTTGGTGTAGGTGGCCCTGAAGCCAGAACTCTGGGAATATCCGTCAGAAATAAATACAACAAACATGGCCGAGCCTTGGGATGTGATTGGCGCAGGAACAGTAGTACCGCAGTATGTTCCTATTTCTGGTGAATTGACATCATTACCATCCAATACGCGTAAATAATCGTGGTTACATCCACTTCCGCGTTGTTCCACATCCATATGTGTAAAGGTCAAGGTTATTCGGTCACCTGGAAATATATAAACAATGAGAGACAGGCAGACAGAGAGAGAGAGACAGACAGAGAGAGAGAGACAGACAAGACAGACAGAGACACATAGCTAGAGAGAGAGTGGGGGAGGGCTAGGGTCATTACGGGACTAACATATGGTTCATGTTTATAGGGGTTTTTAGCTGTGGTAGTAAACCGGAGGACCACAAGGCTGGACAGGCGACCATACTCCTTAGCACATACATGCCATTATGTCCTTGAATGAATTGAAAAGAAACTTACTATTATGATCAGCCTTGATTAACCATGTACAGTTGCTGTTCCTGTCGTACGCCTGGGGATAATTAGTGGACATGATAGCACCATCAGTTTCAGAATTCTTTCTACCACCACAACCTGTACAAATATAGATAGGCATTCACACATCTCATTAAATCACTCAACAAATACTGGGTCATTTTGGGACTAACACATGGTTCAATCTTATTTCGATAATTCCTTTATGCCTTAGAATCTATAGCAGTGGGAGGATTCTGGATGTCCTTGAGAAAACTAACAAGATCAGATTAGACACGCGACCCTATACTCCTTGTTCCGTACGTACAAGCGTTGAATCGAAACCACGCCACTTGACTCAATGACAGACTTCATGTCCAAATGAGACAACAAGTCAGATCGTTAAAAAGAGGAGGGAAAACGGATGACCAGGAGATAAACCCAGGAGGTAGGACAAGTGCAGCCTTCGATCGAAACAACGACACTTGACTCAGACCTTAGAATCACCCCCCCCCTCCTTTTTCTACTTCCCGATACGAATAATGAGGAGGGGTGATGAACAGCCTCACCCACCCCAGGAGAGGTGGGGTGATAAACGGCCTCAACCACCCCAGGTGAGGAGGGGTGATACACAGCCTCACCCGTCCCAGGAGAGGAGGCGTGATACACAGTCTCACCCATCCCAGGAGAAGAGGGGTGATAAAGAGCCTCACCAACCCCAGGAAAGGGGATGATAAACAGCCTCAGAGATCCCAGGAGATGAGGGGTGATAAACAGTCTCACCCACCCAGGCGAGGAGGGGTGATAAACAGACGCACCTACCCCAGGAGAGAGGGGTGATAAACAGACCCACCCACCCCAGGAGAGAGGGGTGATAAACAGCCTCACAAACCCCAGGAGAGGAGGGATGATAAACAGACCCACCCAACCCAGGAGAGGAGGGTGATAAACAGCCTAACCAACCCCAGGAGAGGAGGGTGATAAGCAGCCTAGCAAACCCCAGGAGAGGAGGGTGATAAACAGCCTAACCCACCCCAGGGGAGGAGGGGTGATAAACAGGCCCACCCACCCCAGGAGAGAGAGGGGTGATAAACAGAACCACCCACCAAAGGAGAGAGGGGTTATAAACAGCCTCACCCACCCCAGGAGAGGAGGGTGATATACAGCCTTACCCACCCCAGGGGAGAAGGGTGATAAACAGCCTAACCCACCCAAGGGGTGGGGGGTGAAAATGTATAGTTAATTAAGTTATCATTAAACCCCCTCACCCACCCTGCATAGTCAACAACTGAAGATTTAGCTTAAGGTCAGACTTTTCAGCACCCACCTGATGACGATGGGCATATAGTGGGCTACGAGGGAAACTTTTCCGTTTAAAGGCCTGTATATTTTCAACAGGATGGAAGCAGGCAACTAAATTGACCTCCACTTACTTGTTACATAGCTAGCTTTGAAACCTCGTGCTGCAAAGTCGCCATCTGATCTCAGTCTGATATAAACCTGATTATTGGACGATCTGTAAACACTTGGAATAGGAAGAGACGTGCCACAATGTTTCACTAACTCAGGAAACGACGTATCCCAACCATCATAAATCTGTAAGACACGTAATGATAGAGAGAAATAGGGTTTAACGTCCACTCAACAGAGAAATAAGGTTTAACGTCCACTCAACAGAGAAATAGGGTTTAACGTCCACTCTACAGAGAAATAGGGTTTAACGTCCACTCAACAGAGAAATAGGGTTTAACATCCATTCAATACAGGAAAGGGGGTTAACGTCCACTTACTATTTCACAAGTACTTATCAAGCATATAAACACAAATAAATAAAAAAGAATGTTAAACTGTTCCTATGTAAATGTTCAAATTTATTTGACGAAACTAGTGAGGATAGTGGACATGTGTGGTTGTTTTAAATGGCTTTTTTAGATTTTTGACTTTACACAATAATTTCCATTTTCGATATAATTGGACACGCTCTACTGAAGCGAGTGAAAGAAACTTGCGTTGCTATGGACACCATCTTAGTTCCAGGTTTTACGTATTGGAATATGTACATGTAATTGATGTATAATGGATGAAACGATATATTATATATTTGATAGTTGACAAGTATAAAATATAAAGCTTACTGCTACATAGTCGTAGTTACAAGTTGAACTTCCCTCCACGTCAAAATCATTAAATGTGATGACAACTGGTTGATTCTCCTCGACTGTGATCAACCACTGACAGTCCGTATTATGGGGATAATTACTGGGGTAGTTCTTGGATACGATCGTACCACTTGGTGTACTAAAGTTACCTCCACATCCTAGAGAACATAAAACACATGTATCATACCATCGTACCTAAATATCTTGGCTTATCTTACGCACTAGCGCAATGCTTTATTTGTCTGCCAGTGGTCCTGGTGACAGATGTATCAGATAAGCACGAGGGCGTCAATTATTCTGGGGTCTCTCTCAACTAGAATCCAGAACATTCCAGTCAAGTGTCCAACATCGTAATCACTTGACTACTAGAGCCGCAAAATAATACTGGAGACGGGGCTATGAAATTAAATGTTTTAACTATACGAGCACCAAATAGCTCCGAGACAAAAATAAAAACCATACGAACTTGTCGCCACCGGGGGAGAGATATCGAGTGATACTGACAAGCTGTACTGTTGACAATTATTCCGAATTCCAACTTTGAAGGGTTCTTCTAGTTCTCAACAATGCGTAGGCTAAGCAGGAACTCAGTTTTACGTCTAATCCGAAAAAATAACTAAAAAGGAGAGATAACTCTTACCTCCTGTTTGGGATTGATAGGTGGCGCTAAATCCCGTTCCGGAGATACGGCTATCTGATTTAAATCGTACAAACATGGTGTTTCCGGTAGTCTGGACAACTTGAGGTGTTGTCTTGGTGTGGCACAGATGAGCGATTCTAGGAGCTGAATCATCCGGTCCACCATAGATCTACAAATACAAATGAAATCAAATTGGCTCAAAAGATTATATTGAGGGAGTGAGTGAAAAATGGGATTTAACATTCATTCGACACAAACTATGACATACAGTGTGCGATGAGGGTAATTTTGTCCAGACAGCAGGATTATTTCTGCCAAGGGATCTTTTACGTGCAAGCCAATGTATACACGGGACCTCGGTTTATCGTCCCATCCAGACGACTATACGCTGCCTCTGCCCTGCATCACTGAAAATGCGAATACACGCCAGTAAATCCTGATGAAGTTTCTCGCCCAACGGAGGGATCAAACACTGGACCTCGAGGTTAGCGAACCAAAGTTCTACCCACCGTGTCATCGTGGTTCCAGAGATGAGAAAGAATTAAATTAAAAGACAATCAAATCCACTTACATCTAATACATCATAATTACAGTTAGAATGAGATTCTAAATCAAACGGATTAATCGTTAGTTGAATAGATTTGCCTGTTCCCACGGTGATCTTCCAGATACATTCTCTACGATTTGGGTAAGCGTTGGGATAGTTAGGACTGGTAAAGGTTCCGGTGGCCGTGAATAATTCTCCACCACAGCCTGTAAATAAATAACAAGTCTTTAAACGTACATTATACAAGAGCTAAATCTGCCTATTGCAGGTCTTTAATTCTCTCTGACTTACAATTCATTTATTCCAGTCTGATGGAAAATATACCTTATACACCAGTGGTTCTCAACCTTTCTTTGCCAACAGCACACTTTGGAACACATAAAACAAAATTGCGGCACACCTGGCTAAATATATATGAAAAATATTTGAATGTTGCAAAAACAACATGGCATACAACCGTAGACACAGACTTTTCATAGACACATAGAATGACTCAAACTATATAAAGAAAAACACAACCATGAACTTACCAGTAGACACCAGTGAATACTCAATTCGGATGACATGTTTTTTCGCATTTTCGTAGTGTGCAGTTCAAAATTTCGCGGCACACTTAGGAAGATCTCACGGCATACCTGTGTGTCCAGGCACACTGGTCGAGAATCACTTCATAACAAAATGAAATGAAATGGGGTTTAACGTCCTACTGTTCTGCTCCTATACTGGGCTAATGAAGACGGACATACGCCATATGAGGGAAAATTTGCCCGGGCAGCGGAACTATCGCCTACTCTTATATCGAATTCCAACTGCCAAGGGATCTTTTACGTGCATTCCAATCTATACACGGGACCTCGGTTTTTCGTCTCATCCGAAGGACTAGACAGCTGTCCTTGCCAGGCCCTCCGTTCTGCACCACTGACAAGGGGAAACCACGTCGGAAAATCCCGATGAACTTACTCGGCCAATGCAGGGATCGAACACGTGACCTCCAGGCTAGCGAGCCAGCGTCTAACCCACCTAGCCACTGTGGCTCCCCACTCCATAACAAAAAAAAAATATTCTCATTCTCAGACAATCCCTACCTGTGCCATACAGTGTGCGACGAGAGAGAGAGAGAGAGAGAGAGAGAGAAAGAGAGAGAGAGACAGAGAGAGAGAGAGCGAGAGAGAGAGGGGTGGGTTTTACGTCCACTCGACACAAATTAGGCCATTTCTGGACTAACATATGAATTAATTTTATTTCAATAATTCGCTTTCAAGTAGGGCTCTTTAGCAGTGGGGGGAACTGCAGGACTTGGAGAAACCCACATGAAATCAAGCCACTTGACGCCATGGCAGACCTAGTGATCTTACACTCAAACGTTAAACCAATTGACCACACCACCCAGCACCTACTCATAAAACAAGAAAGAGTTTACCGTCTGTTATCCATTCAAGTCTAAAACCATTTCCAGCTACGGATTGATCTGTAACCAGATTGAGAGATAGAGATGAACCATTGGTTGATATAGAAGGTGGGATGGTATTACCACAATATCGACCAATCGAATTAGATGTTGGTCTGTTACCATCAAACAGCTAAAACAAAAACAAAACAAAAAGAAAATAGTTAAACTTTCTGAATATCCAAATAGAATAACATGGCTGTACCATCATGGGTGGGGTGGGTGCTAATGATATTGAGTGGTTCGGGATTTGGACAATGTCCTAAACTAATAAGTTTATGTTTTTCGTTATAAAACACAAGTCATAGAATGTTGGACCGTGTGGACAGAACTTCACGACCAGTCCCCTAACACTAACCAGTCCCCTAAGCCTAACCCTAATCCACAACCAGTCCCCATACAAATGTGTGAGAATGTTTAGGACAAATATATGACAATGTTTTGGACAAATGTGTGACAATGTTTAGGACAAATGTGTGACAATGTTTAGGAGAGATGTGTGACAATGTTTAGGACAAATGTATTGCAATGTTTTGGACAAATGTGTGACAATGTTTAGGACAAATGTATGGCAATGTTTTGGACAAATGAATGACACTGTTTAGGACAATTTGTACGAGCGTCTAGAGGTCCCTACAAAATATATATATAGCTTCCTACCTGTAGGTAGTCATAGGAACAGGTAGCTGAGCCTTCAAGGTCAAAATGTGAGAAGGAGGCGTTGATCTTGTTGCCCATTGTTGTCTGTATTACCCAGGTACAGTTACGTATATGAGGATAGCTGTTAGGGAAATTGGGACTTTCTATTACACCATCGTGACTGGTTAATCTGGTATTACAGTCTGAAATACCAGAATGAAGATGACGTACAAAATTGATATTCCACAAGGATACAAACCTAATTCTTATTGTAAAACCAAGGGCCTTTTTCAAGAAATGAAATTAAATGGGACCTAACGTACTACTGTTCTGCTCCGACTGGGCTAATGAAGATGGGCAAATGTCATACAGTGTGCTATGAGGGAAATTTTGCCAGGACAGAGACGCTAAAGCCTACTCTTATATCGATGTCCAACTGCCAAGGGATCTTTTACGTGCACATCATTTAGCTTGCGTGTAGAGATCATGAGCAGTGGGAGGAAACTGAAGGACGTGGAGAAAACCCACAAGGTCGGATAGGCAACTCTACTCCTTGTCACGTTTAGGGAGTCGAAAGCACGTCACCTTAGTCAATGGTAGAACTTATATTCTACTCTCGTTATACCATTCGGTCATCCGACAACTGAATTAAACAAAAAAATGAAATGAAATGGGGTTTAAGGTCCTGTTGTTCTGCTCTGAACTGGGCTAATGAAGACGGGCATACGCCATAAAGTGTGCTATGAGGGCAATTTTGCCCCGAAAGCGGCACTACGGCTTACTCGTATATCGAATTCCAACTGCCAATGGGACCACGCTTTTTCGTCCCACTTGAACGACTAGACAGCTGTCCTTGTCACGCCCTCGAACTCCCGACCTCCAGACTAGCGAGCCAGCGTCTTACCCACATACACTGTAACAAAAATTTCCGTGAAAAAACGTAAAAAATTCCGGAAACAAAAATTACCAGGAAACTTTTATCCGTATTTGTTTTTCCTGTAATTTACAGAAATTCCTTCAATTAACATAAATTCCATTTTCAAATTCAGAAAAAAAATTCTGGTAAATTTTCTTTCCTGAGCATGAAGATGATAAAAATTTCATTGAATTAACCATTGACTTTATACCCGTGCGTCAAATAGCTTTATCTAACGTCCGCTTCCACCGAAGTGATATCGCAGATAATCTTTAAACATAACCTCTTTTCGCTAATATATGAATCGAGAGCAAGGTATCACAACCCGCCACTCGTCAGTGGTTGGAGGCTTTCAGTGGTAGACTCTGCTATAGAGACAAACTGACTTACACTGGCCAACGGGTTGTACTATCTGGATTTAAGCCTGCTTGATTACCAGATATTACAACATTACCACACGAGGCATTAAAACATATTTTTACTTATTTATGAAAATACTTACAATCTGATTTCCGTATGATGAATAACAATACACTTTATAGATCTTATAAATAATGGAAATTAGATATACATTTCAATTAATATACCAAACGTTACAAAATATGATTCTTCATATTATGGTTAATCCATTGAAATGAATACTATAACATGATCATTATTATAAATGATTATATATGTATACGATTACTTATCGTTGTACCGCTTATCCCATAAAAAAACAGAATTAAGTCCATTAAAGAACGGAATAAAACATTTTATCCCTAAATTTCACGGAACTTCTTTGTCATTCCACCGTATATTCCGTAAAATAACAGGATTAAGTCCATTATAGAAGGGAAAAAAACATTTTATCCCTAAATTTCACGGAAAGTTCCTGTTAAATACTGAATATTCCACAGAAATATATAAAACACGTAATTTGAAGAAATAATTCATGCTTTTAACACAATTTTACCAAAAAATCCTTTGATTAACAGAAAAAAGGTGTTAAACTACGGAATTCGGCCACATCAAAAATGGATATTTTTTACAGTGTAGCCACTGTGACCCAAATTAAATTAAGAGGAACTTACTGGTAACATAGGTTGCCTGGAAACCACGTCCTGCAGCACTAAAATCTGCTCGAAATTTTATCCATAGTTTGTTCGTACGTGATTGGATTGGAGAGGGAATCGGCGTACCACAGAATTTACCTCGTTTTTCCCCGTATTCATTTCCTTCCCGCACCTAAAAACAGACACGAAACCAGAGAGAGACCTCTCGCTCCACTAACCCAAGGCAAGGAGTGGGACCGCTTGCCCCAGGAATGGAGTGAGCTTACTCCAGGGTAGTAGGGGTGGTAAATGCTGATAATTTTACAATCAAGTAAACTGAAGGGCCATACAGTGTGCTATGAGGGAAATTTTGCCGGACAGCGGCACATCCGCATACTCTTATATCAAATTCCAACTGTCAAGGGATCTTTTACCTTCACGCCAATGTGTACACGGGGCCTCGGTTTTTTGCCCCATTCGAACGACTAGACAGCTGTCCTTGTCAGGCCCTCCGTCCTGCATGACTGACAAGCGGCGGGGTGGGGGGGGGGGCACGCCGGAAAATCTGGATGAACTTTCACCGCCAATTCAGGGATCGAACACCCAACCTCCAGGCTAGCGAGCCAGCGTCTTACCCATTTAGCCAACATTTCAAAACTCAAATATCTATAGCGGTACTATGTTCATCTGAAGACTGTTGTTATTTTGTCCATCTGCCAATCCGTCCACGGTATAGACAAAAATCCCTCAATTTTAAACATTTAAATAATAAACCAGAGAGAGAGAGAGAGAAATGGGGTTTAACGTCCACTCGACACAAACCAGGTCATTTCGGGACTAACATATGGTTTAATTTTATTTCTATAATTCGCTTGCGCGTAGGGGTCTATAGCAGTGGGAGGAAACCGGAGGACCCGGAGAAAACCCACGATGTTGGACAGGCGACCCTACTCCTTGTCACGTACAACCGGGGATTCGAAACCACGACAGTCGACTCAATGACAGACTTTATGATACAGCGCGCGCACGCTAACCATTCAGCCATCCAACCCCCCAAATAATAAACCAATAAAAAGTCTTACCATTAAGTAATCATAGTGACAGTTATGTTGTGCTTCAAGGTCAAAATCAGCGAAGGTCAAGGTTATTGTGTTACCTTGGTTAATGGTTATAGTCCAGAAACATTCGGAATTATGAGCGTATGTCATAGGGTAGTTGGGCGATATAAAACTTCCTGTAGACGACGTTAGATCGGCTCCACAACCTGCTCAATATAAAAATATTATTTGAAAATAGTGCGATAGTAATATATGGACGGGGGATCGAGAATGACGTCATGATTGCCATATTGGAACGTTATATCATATCAAAAATCAAAGTTCGTCAATCGATGCACAAGGAACAAGCATGGCAATTTTAGTCTTGAATTTGAGGAACTTTGGGGTTTTTTTTCGAAGAGCATCACCCACAACTTCAAGATACATGAGGTTTACATCCATTCAACACAAGCTAGGTCACTTTGGGACTAACATACGGTTAAATTTTAATTTACTATTTCCTTGCGAGTAGGGGTCTTTAGAAAACACCCAAAAAACCAACGAGGTTAGGCAGGCGACTCCACTATACACCCCTTGTCACGTACAAATGTGGAATCAAAATCACACATTTTGACTCATTGACAGATGTCACAATCTAAAGCACTGGCGTTAGTCCATTCGAAATTTGTAATATACCGACCTGTAGATGTTCCATCATAAAGAATCTTGAATCCACGAGCTGACTGTGATACATCTGTTTTAAATTTTAACCACATTCTGTTGCTATGGGAGACAATGATATTATCAATGGTTCTGCCACAATATTTACCAACCAATGGTGACGTCTGATATCCTCCATTTCTATAATAAAATATTATTGTTATCATTGTTATTATCACTTTAAAATAAACGGATGTAAATGTCAATTAATGAACAAAATAGCATTCAACAATTCATCAACACAATACTATCAAGGGCGTGAATCTGAAGGGGGGGGGGGGCGAATAAGCCTTTGCCCTCCCCCCCCCCCCCAATGATTTTGATCGCCAGGACAGATTTTCAAGTTTATATCCACATGAATGTCCCGTTGTGAAGGCTATCTAACCACTGACTTGGGTCACGCCACAGTTAGTGATCTTGACGATATCTTCCTCCTTAATTGAAGGTAGTCAATTACTGGTACAGTAACTGTTCGTTATTATTATGTTGGTTTATTAATGAAATGTTCCAGGTTCCGGGGTTCGTTCGTCGACCTTGAATACTATAGTTTTTTTGCGGAAAACAAATTGTAATTGTCATTTCAAGTGATTGATAGATATGTGTACAATGCAGGGTAGATGGATTTTGCCCAGATAGTAGTGTTTACAGTACTGTACTTTGACCTCTTGGACCGGGGTTACACGATTCAACGTTCCGGAACAGAATTCTCTCAATGCCTTGACTAGTTTGAACAAGACAAGACACACTGAATACAATTCAAAGATTTTAATAGAAGGGAGGGGGAATGACCGAATGGTTAGCACGTGCTCGTTGTATCATAAGGTCTGTCATTGAGACGCCTGTCCAACCTCGTGCATTTTCTTTGGGACCTCCGTTTTTCTCCCACTGCTAAGAAAACCTACGCGCAAGCGATTATTAAAATGAAATTGAACCATGTTTTAGTCCCGAAATGACCTACCTTGTGTCGAGTGGACGTTAAACCCTATTTCTCCCTCACCATCTCTTTTAATAGAGGGAATACAGGGAATACGGGGATTACAGGCAACAACTAATATAATTGACAGGTTTCAATTGAGAATTATAGGCCACAAGGCAAAAGAATACTGAATACCAAAAGTCATCCCACATAATCACCATAGCTAAACACATAACAGGACTCAATTCCATGCCAAAATATTCTTTCTGGATTAACAATGAAAGCAAAACCAGGGGAAATAACTCATGTGAACGTGTAAGTACCAAAATTCTTTCCTTCTACGTTAATATGTGCTCAACATAAAATATATTTACCTGATCTCAAGGTAGTCATAGTTACAGTTGACATGGCTCTCCATCAGGAAATCTGTCACATTTAATAAAATCTGGTTTCCATCGGGAACTGAGATAGTCCAGATACATTCCCGTTGATGTGGATAGTTACCTGGATAATTGGGACTAGTGATAACACCGAAAGTATCGGTTAGGGCGGCACCACACACTGGAAAATAAAACAGCCAGACTAGAAATTCATCACTGGAAGAAATAGAATTAAAATGGGGTTTAACGTTCTACTGTTCTACACCAACCGAACTAATGAAGATTGGCAAGAGAAAACGTTGCCTTGAGAGTGATGTTTTTATGTAATCTTCTTCAAATGATGCAGGACGAAGGGCCTGACAAGGACAGCTGTCTAGTCGTTCGGATGGGACGAAAAACAGAGGTCGCGTGTACACATTGGCCTGCACGTAAAAAATCCCTTGACAGTTGGAATTCGATATAAGAGTAGGTCGTAGTGCGGCTGTCCGGGCAAAATTTTCCTGATAGCACACTGTACGGCGTATGCCCGTTTTCATTAGCCCAGTTTGGAGTAGAACCATAGGACGTGAAACCCCATTTCATTTCATTTCATATATAACTGAACCTCACAAAGACAGACAGAAACCACACACAGAGACAAAAACCACGCACAAACAAAAAGCACACACAGACAGAAACCACACGGAAACTGAACCACATAAACAAACCCCACACACAAACAGAAACCATACACAAACTGAACCAAACACAAGCAGAAACTACACACAAACTGAAACATCATCATTATTTAGAGATCAAAATGTTATAAAAGGTTGAGGAAACTGTGAGAGTGAAAGAGGAAAGACAATAGACAATGAGGCGAAAAAGTGTATAGATAAGAAATTTAAATGCTTTTTATGAAAACATAGTATTTTTTTTCAAAAGTTATAGAGTAGTACGCCAGGACCCATCGCAAATTGCCCCACAGACCCAGCTGAGGTCGCGACCCAGAGATTGGGAACCTAGGCTTTATATGCATCCTTAGGGGTCATCAAAGAAAGAACCAATTTACTGACTGCAGACCCGAGGAGTTAGGGTGAGACTTGTTTTGTAAATGCATCAACAATATTTTATTTTAGGGAAATTTTAATAGTTATTGTAGGAGGACTGAACCAATCAAAAACAGAAACCATACACAAACTGAACCACACACAAACAAAAACCACACACAAACTGAAACCAAACACAAACAGAAACCGCATACAGGCTGAACCACACACAAATAGAAACCACACACAGAAACCACACACAAACTGAACAACACACACAAAAATAGAAACCAAACACAACCTGAACAACATACAAAAGGAGCCACATACAAATAGAAACCACACACAAACTGAACAACACAGAAAAGGAGACACACACATACAGAAATACAGACGACACGTCACATACAGTTAGACATACAGATAGGTAATAAACAGTAAGTCCATTGCCCTGATAGTTCGACCACAATAACTGCACATTCATAGAAACAAGACAAAACATAACAATCTTACGTGTACTGGCGTTGAGGGAAAGATAGGAGGCGGAGAAACCTTCATGAGCGATACTTGAGTCGGAACCGAATCTAACAGTCATTGTGTTACTTGTTGATGTTAAAACTGGTGGTAGAACAGATCCACAAAATCTACAATAAAAATAACAATTATTCAAATTATAAAAATATGAAATAATAATTTAAAAGTTTCAAATAGCACAATAAAGTATCCGAATAAATATCAAATATGACTACAATAAAATATCAAATATGACTACAATAAAATATCAAATATGACTACAATAAAATATCAAATATGACTACAATAAAATATCACTTATTACCACTGTAAAATATCAAATATGACTACAATAAAAGATCACTTATTACCACAGTAAAATATCAAATATGACTACAATAAAATATCAAATATTACCACATTAAGGTTAACATAGAAACTCCTGTACAAAGTATAGAATATTACCGTCCTAGACTGCTGCTGGTGTTAACCATAGCTTTGTCGTAGATTTGAACGTAGTCACGGCGACAGTTACAGATGTCGGACTCTATATAAAACGAATGGAATGTAAGTCTGATAATGTAACCAGGGGTAACGGTGATATGCCAGGTACAGTTAGCACCATGTGGATATGGATTGGGGTGACCAGGACTCGTCAGGGATCCGGTTGTATCTGTTAAAATTTCACCACAAACTGAAAAATACAAAAATAATAATTTGTAAACTTAAATTAAACATTTTGAAATGTTTTGTTTTAATGTCCTACTGTTCTGATCCAACCATGCTAATGGAGACTGGTGTACTCTATGATTAAGGCCTAGCATGGACAGTTGTCTAGTCGTTCGGATTGGACGACCAACCGAGGTCTCGTGTACACATTGACCCGCACGTAAAAGATCCCTTGGCAGTTGGAATTTGATATAAGAGTAGTCATAGTGCCACTGTACGGGCCCATTCAGGAGCAGAACAGCAGGACATTAAACCCTAGACAGCGTCGATACAACCTACTCTTCATTAAAGATTATAGGAGAATAATGTCATGTTTTTTTTTTAGATTGTTTTTATTTGAAAAAGATGAATTAAACCAAGATCATTTTCAAGCCTGGAAATTAAAGCATCTATCAGATTAATTCGGGCTCTGTCCAGTACAATATACATTTTGTGGTATTTATTGATGTTTTTTAATAAATGCCCGACTCAGGTACCAGGGGCCTGTTTCTCGAAATCTTAACTAAAGATAAAATCCAAATTTTAGTGGGTACTTCAATTTTGATTGACGCACTAAAATCAATCTAATATTATCCAATCAAATTACTAAAATTTGGATTTTATGTTACTTAAAATTTCGTGAAACAAGCTCCAGTTTATTAGTGTCTGTCAATTTATGAACGACAACTAAAATCATTTATTCAAGACCTGGCCATCTTGTTATTAATCTGATTAAAACACAGATCCTATTTCGTTTCGTTTTTCATAGTTCAAAATTTCGTTTTACTTGTCTTTACTACACTAGGATCTAGAAGAGTTGAGAGAGAGAGAGAGAGAGAGAGAGAGAGAGAGATTTTATTTCAATAGTTCGCCTGTGTGTAGGGGTACTTAGCAGTGGGCGAAACCGTAGAAAGACGTGGTTTAACATCTACTCCACACAAACTACGTCATTTTGAGACTAAAATATGATTCAATTTTATTTCAATAATTTGACTGTGGGAAGGTGTCTTGAGCAGTGGGAGGAAATCGGAGAACCGGGAGAAGCCAAAGAAACCTCCGAGAGGTTGGACAGGTGACCCTACTCCATGTCACGTACACGGGGTGAATAGAAACCACGCCACTTGACTCAACGGCATACCTTATGATGCAACGCATATATGTTAACCATTCGGCCACCCACACGCCATCTTTTTTAGAAGCCTTGGTTCTATATGAAGGATAATAAATACTCACCAGCTTCCTCTCTTGTAAAGGTTGCCTGGAAACCATTATTGCTAACTGATCCGTCCGTCTTGAATTTGATCCACATCAAGTTTTGCGTAGATTGTTGAACAGCTGGAACCTGAGTTCCGCAGAATTTACCCAGTACTGGAGAATCTGCCCCGCCACCATTTCGTATCTAAACGATATTACAGGTTTAGGTGTTTAGATAATAACATCCAGACATATTTCAGTGGTAGACAATGTCATCAATGGCAGACATATTTCAGTGATAGACAATATCATCCAGACATACAGATATACTGACTGAATAATTCGGGTGGCAGGCTCTTTATCAGTTTGTAGGCATAGACCATGCGGTGTGCGTCCAGTAGCAATTCTGTTGACTCGATCAACGAATTCCAACTTAATTTGGGCAGATGGATGGCCGAATGGTTAGCACGTGCACGCTGTGTCGTAAGGTCTTTTATTGAATCAACAGTCGTGGTTTCGATTCCCTGCTTATAGGTGGCAAGGAGTAGGGTCACCTGTCCAACCTCGTGGGTTTTCTCACGTTAGTCCCGAAATGACCTAGTAAAACCCATCTCTGTCTGTCTGTCTGTCTCTGTCTCTCTCTCTCTCTCTCTCTCCAACTCGGTTTACTGTCCCATCACAACCAGAAACTGAATATTCATGAAATCAAAAAAATGGACATTTTTGTAAAATTGTACATACCTCGACATAGTTATAATTACACGACCCTGCACTGGTAGCTCCCTCTATATCGAAACCACTGAAAGTGAGGACAACTCTATATCCAGCAGGCTGGTTAATCAGGTACACACATTCTTTATTGTGGGGGTAACTATTAGGGTATGATGGAGATTGAAGAGTTCCACTAGATTCTGTAAATGTTCCACCGCAAGCTAAAAAAACCCCCAAATGGATAGCTTTTTTTTATATTTATGAGTAAATTCTTACTTAATTACAATGTTGGAAATCTTCATATTTACTACAATAATTTTGAACTAACAGACAGAAAGAGTGACGACTGTGATACTGCACGAGTGCATCAACCTGAGTGTTGTATCTATATATTATGCATTGTCTAGCTCGAGACAACTTAAAATACAGATACACTCTCGAGAACATTTCTTCCCATATAATCAACACACGAGTTCAATATTTTCACATTGTTTTTAAATATTGGATGGCAAACATCAAATGAAATGAAATGGGGTTAAAGGTCTTACTGTTTTGCTCCAACTGGGCTAATGAAAACAGTGTGCCATAGGGGAAATTGCCCGGAAAGCGGTACTACAGCCTAGTCTTATATATCGAATTCCATCTTTCATGGGATCTTTTACGTGCTGCTAATGGTACAGAGGGTCTGTCGATTATACGCTGTCCCTTACCAGGCCCTCCGTCCTGCACCAATGACAAGGGAGCCAACATCACTGGATGACGTCGACCTTAAAATATCAATACACTATCCCACACATCCAGTCCTATGAAAACGTCACCCCATACCAATATGTCTGCCATGTTAAATAAATAATGTACTATTAGCCAAGCGTGATGTTGACGATAGTGTATACTAACCTGCTTCCCAGGTGGCTCGGAATCCACTTCCACGTTGTGAAGCATCTGATTTAAACATGATCCAGATGACGTTACTGGAACTGGAGAGAACAGACGGTATATTCGTTCCACAGTATTTACCAATAACAGGTGAAGTCTGTTCATCACCATCTCGAACCTGGTTCAAACATAACAAAACCAAGATAAAATGAAATAACGCCATACTTTTCTGCATCGACTGGGCTAATGAAGATAGCCATACAGGGATATATTTTTCTCTACACCAGTTTTCTATAAATTAGCATAGGGGTGGGGGGTGGATGGCCGAATGGTAAGCACATGCGCACTGTCTGTCATTGAGTCAACTCCGGTTTCACCCAACTGCTAAAGACCCCTATGCGCAAACGAAGTATTGAAATAAAATTGAACCATATGTTAGTCCTGAAATGACCTAGTTTGTGTCGAGTAGACATTAAACCCATTTCTTTCTCTATAAATTAATAGAAAATGTTTTGACAGTTTCCGGATTTTTCATGACTAGAGGTGTCAAAGATTAGCAGTGAGAGGACCAGGAGAAAACTCACCTTATTGGACAGGAAACCCTACTCCTTATTATGTACAAATAGTGGGATTTGAAACCTTATGACATAAACCACGTCATTAGACTAACAGACCTTATGATATAAAGTGTGAGCGTTATACCATTTGTCCACAAAAGTTGTCTTTGGTAATATATTTATTAATTCACCCCTTTCACACAAATAAAAATAAATATGAAACAAACCTCAACAAAATCATATCGACATGAAGCTTGACTCTCAAGATCCATGTTCGTAAATGTCAGGCTAATCGTGTCTCCAGGTGTAACTCGGATTGTCCAGACACACTGTGCATTATGGGTATATGCGTTCGGATAATTAGGGGAGATAACTATTCCCTGATCTTCTGTTAATTCACCACCACACTGGGCTCCCGCTACAAAATAAATCATGTCATGCGTCATTTCTTTTATTTTCAATCAAAGAGACAGTTGCAAATGAACTGAGGAGAATATTTATCCATGACCTTGGGATATCTTCTTAAAAAAACATGGACCATTTAACATTTCATTAAGAAAACAAAATCAAAATACCAACAGTAAATAATAGGGGATGCTCGATTCACAGTCCAGAACGTCCCGAATTGACAGAATTGCAATCGAGTAACGCGGAATTCAGTTCTGTCACAGTTCTGTCAGTCCCGACAACGGAGGTGGTGTGAGTAGAATCGTGACGTAATTAAAAGGTTTCGGCTACACGGTTGGTTGAGATATTTACTTATTCAGTCGACGCATGGGCAGTAGCCCGAAATCATCTTTTCACTCGATTGTCACTATTTTTGAAATCGAGTACCCCCATAATCTCTCAGCTTGGATTTAATCGCATTAAAAAGAGGCACATCAAAGATTTTTCACAGATCTATATTACGTTTCGTTTTTTTATACTTTGGATGGCCTACACTACATGAAGATCAGACCGGTTGTAGTGGAAGGTCGGTCAGAGGTCATACGAGCGACTTTTGATCCTATTACGTCAGACATTTGATTAACCAATCAACGTTGATGTTTCTAGTGGGATACCCACAGTTCCGTGCACCGCACACCAAGAACTTGTAGTAACAGACTGTTTCATTGGCTAACCCCTCACATCAACCAGAATGCATGTTATATGAAAAATCTTCCAGATCCTAGTGTAGTGAAGACAAGTAAAATGAAATTTTGAACTATAAAAAAAGAAACGAACATGATCTGTGTTTTAATCAGATTGAGGCACAATCAAAGACTTTTCACGGATTTTACGTAGCTCTGGCTTGTTTTGATCATTGCTGATTTATATACTGCCTACAGAGGACGGCAAATATTGACATTGAACCGACTTTAACAATTTCTGGGCTTCAAATGATTCAGATTCCACACCAGTCTGCGCCCAACTGAAATGGATGCCGAGGTTCTCGAAGGTTCTGCCCCCTACCCTGTACTCCACTGCCACATTATGATTAACTTAAAAATGGATTGTGATGTAATAGGACCATACCTGCAATAGCAGCATACGTGATATGGAAGCCTCGATCATTGAGACTAATAGAACCATACCTGCAATAGCAGCATACGTGATATGGAAGCCTCGATCATTGAGACTTCTATCTGAATGGAATGTAACGAGAGCGTAGGGACCAGATGTGGTAACGGGAGCAGGATTGGTCGTTCTACAATATTTTGCTAAAACATCTGAGGTATCCAATTCTCCATCTTGTATCTATAATAGACATTATAATAGTAAGTGCAGGAGGACTGCACCACACATAATTTACACAAAAACAAATATATGGACAAGACATAATACGCAGAAATCACAAACAAACGCACAATTCAAATATAGTAAATGGTTCTGGGGGGATAGCCGTAAAGCTGTGAGCGTCCACTGAACTGTACAGTCCCGGGCCTGTAGTGACACCGACTTTACTCATATTTGAAAACAATCAGGAATATAACCCAAAGAAACCATTGTGTAATGCCAGAATGAGTCAAAATCTCCTATATTTTACAAGAAATATGAATGTAAGCATATTGAAGTAAGATTTAACTATACAAGTAACCACATGGGTGAAATGTATAATAACCAGCGGCTGTCAGGCAGGATACGCCCACATTTTCGAGAGATGGATAGAGAACAAGCTAAAAAGAAAGTGATTTTTCCTACAATCAAGGGACATATAATTCAGGAAATTACAATTCGATATGCGCAAATATCGAAAGGAACCGAGATCTTTGTGCTATAAACTTACATTTCAAGTTTCAACAAAATCGGATAAAAATTGTGAGCTCTATAGCATCCACAACCTTGATATACCATATTTTTACGCTATTTGAGAACGAAGGGCGGCCATTTTGTCTGTCAGTTTTGGGCCGATTTTCACGAAATTCGAACTCAGCCGTCCTTAGGGTGTAACGGTGATATAATAATACGTTTTTTTTTTAATCGGATAAAAATCATGACCTCTATAGTGTCCACAAGCTAAAAACGCGATTTTTCGTACAATCAGGGGCCATAATTCAGGAAGTTACCGTCTGATATGCGCGAATATCGAAAGGATCCGAGATCTTTGGGTTATAAACGTACATTTCAAGTTTCAACAAAATCGGATACAAATTGTGACCTCTATTGGGTCCAAACCTTAGGGTGTAACGGTGATATAATAATACGGTTTTTTAAATCGGACAAAAATTATGACCTCTATAGGGTCCGCAAGCTAAAAACGCGATTTTTCGTACAATCAGGGGGCATAATTCAGGAAGTTACGGTCCGATATGCGCGAATATCGAAATGAACCGAGATCTTTGGGTTATAGTTTCAACACAATCGGATAAAAATTGTGACCTCTATAGGGTCCACAAGCTAAAAACGTGATTTTTCGTACAAACAGGGGCCATAATCCGTGAAGTTTCGATCCAATATATGCCAATATCGAAAGCAGCCGAGATCTTTTGGAGATAAACCTATATTTCAAGTTTCGTCAAAATCGGATAAGAATTGTGACCTGTGGAATGTGCACAAACAAATTGTGGACGTCCGGACAGACAGGGGCGACGACACTATATGCCAAAATGAAAATAAGGGAATTGAGGTATATTGAATGCAGTAGGGCAAATGTTCCACCCATCACAAAACAGAGCAACAAACAAACAAATACTGAAAACGAAGAAGCATATGAGAAAGTGCAGACCGTCTTGAAGATAGTCGTCTGCTTTTATTCACGGGATATTAACACAACTGAACAGGCAGTGTGAAGTTGAATCACAAGGGCCATAACTCTAAAACACAATTTCAAAAATGGGTCCTGATTTCACTAAACTGAATAATAAGCATAAATTTCAAGGAGATTAGATGGCACTTTGGGACTAACACATGGTTCAATTTTATTTCAATAATTTGCTTGCGCTGAGTGGTCTTTAGCAGTGGGAGGAAACCGGAGGACCTGGAGAAAACCCACGAGGTTGAACAGACCTACCTGTAAATAATCGTAACTATAGTTTTGATGATGTTCTAGGGCTAAAGCTGCAAACGTGAAGATTATCTTCTTCCCCGGTGAAACCAGAACCGTCCATACACAATCACGATTATGCGGATAGTTACCAGGGTAACCAGGACTGTTGATTTCGCCATGGTCACTGCCGGAGAGGCGGCCACCACATACTATAAACAGTAATATATACTATTCAAAAAAAGTAGGGGATATTTGATTTTGGGGGCATAATACTAAAATATGCAAATGACTACGAAAAAAGTCACTATAGAACCTAACAGAAGAAACATTTCCAGTTACATGTGACGCCCAAACGCACCAATAGCTACCGCATGGAATGCAGGTGATGCTTGGGATCATCATGGGGGTCCAACCCAAGATTTGCACGACTCTGACTTTGAATGTTACAGTCATTGTGGCATTGAATTCCAGGGTGGAAACATCAGTTTAATTGTTTTAGTGACCAGAAAACAAATTTTGATATGCGTCGGCTTACCCAAAATGAAAGGTTACGTGCCCTTGGCATGCTACAGATCGGCACAACACAGGCGGTTGTGGCGCGGACGATGAATGTTTCTCAGTCTGTCATAAGCAGGCTATGGTCCAGATACCGTGATACACAATCTGTACAGGACAGACCACGCTCAGGTCGACCAAGGGCGACAACTCAAGCCCAGGATCGATTTATCCGTACCTTGGCCTTGAGAAATCGTGTCATCACAGCAAATCAGATCAGCGCTCGTCTTCAAACAGACACTGGTGTGAGAGTGAGTGGCCAGACGATTCGGAATCGACTGCATAGGGGTCACCTTCGCGCCCGACGTCCTCGCGTGATCCCTTGTTTGAGAGATCATCACATTCAGGCAAGACGTCGTTGGTGTAGGGATCGTCAACACTGGGATAATCGACGCTGGAGCAATGTGATGTTTTCAGATGAGTCAAGGTTCACTGTTGATTTTTTGGACAGACGTAGGAGGGTGTGGCGTCGTCGAAACGAGCGCTTCCAAGACGTTAACGTCATCAGACATGATCGATTTGGGGGTGGTTCTGTTATGTTGTGGGGAGGCATCACTGTTGCTGGAAGAACGGCTTTACATGTTGTTGCAGGGCGTGTTACAGGCCAGTACTACCGGGACAACATCTTGGCAGTCCATGTTGTGCCGTTCGCAAGACGTCATGGCCGCCGTTTCATCTTCCAGGATGACAACGCAAGATATCACAGGGCCAGGATCGTTACAGGTTACCTCCAACAACAGAACATCACCACATTACCTTGGCCAGCACTGAGTCCCGACCTCTCCCCCATCGAGCATGTCTGGGACATGCTTGGACAGAGGTTACGTCAACGTCAACAACGTCCTGCCAATGTCCAAGAACTTGCTGCTGCGTTGCAACAGGAATGGGACAATCTGGACCAAAATGACCTTAAACGTCTCATTAGGAGTATGCCACGTCGGATCAATGCTTGTTTGGCAAACAGAGGAGGATTTACCCGTAACTGACTTGGTTGTGATGCTGTGGTAACTTTGCTGTTTGACCCCGGGTATCATTTTACCCTTATAATGGTCAGTCTGTGCCTTACTTAGTCTAACGATCATTTGGAATAAATCGATGAATGTGAACTTCATTTCATTTTGTCATTTGTTTCTTCGTCAGTTTCATTAGGTGACTTTAATAACACTTAAAAATCAAATATCCCCTACTTTTTTTGAATATATATATATCAACCGTTAAGTGACTATTATGGCCATTTGCATTTTTTGGGGGGGACAATATCTCAATTTTCATGGTTTAAATGAAGTCAAAATGAAGGCGAATTCATCATTTAACATTAAAAAAAAATAATAACAGAACGTAATCTCCAAACAACAATTCAATCGATGCCCACAAATTCAACCGATTTTATCCAACATCCATAGATGGTGCTGGCTTTATATCGTCCACAAAGTGGTTCGATTGTTGGCAATATTTCAGTTCATCACATCATCGTAGATAATGGAGGGAATTGAATCAGTTTAAGACCAGTATTCCTTTTACAGATTCAACTCTTACAACATTGTAGTTTGCAGGGGATTAAAAAAAACATGTTCGTCCTGTCTTCCCTCTGCCCCCGCCCGCCCTGTGAGAACGTTACAGAGATAGGGAGACAAATCCTGCATCGATTTTGAAGACACACATCTAATCGATCACCGAATAAGAATAACGTTTACAAAAAAAATACAGGTAAGCAAATAAAAATTGTAGCATTTTGCTGACACACTGAGCGCTTATTTTCCACCCTGGATACTTATGCGGTTGAAAGTGGACAACAAGAACAAAATATACAAATCTTTTACTCACTGGGATCGCCAGACGTCCAGCTAACGGTGAAGCCGTTTCCAGCCACGGAGGCATCAGAATAAAACCAGAGATAGAGTTGATTATGTGTACTGTTTAAAGAACCACCATTGGGCAGAGCTGTACCACAATATTTACCAATCATATGAGTTGAAGCGGAACCACCATCATGTATCTGCAGGTAGTCATGGCTACAGCTCTGATGAGGTTCAAGGTCAAAGTGAGTAAAGGTCAATGTCAGCACCTGATTTAAAAAAGAGACAAAGTTAAATTTGAGAGAAATGCTGGACTGTAATAATGATTTATAATCTTAGTATTCTCGAAAATTTCCAGTTTGATCAAATTAACAATGCATACCCTGCACTGTACACGAGCTCACATTCAATCTTCTCTTGTACAGTCTAATTGGGTAATTAACGGTTCAGTTACTTGATAATAATATTTACCTTTCCAGCTGTAATCTCTATAACCCAGGCGCAAGAAACAGCATGAGGATAATTTGCACCTGTTGTTCGTGGATAGCTCAATGATCCAGTCTCTCCACGTAATGTTCCACCACAACCTGTAAATATCAACACATAAAAATCATGACAGGTATCATACACCAGGCAGAACACGCTTCATCGTTCAGATCCTGTCTATCAATATCATTTGGTTTTCTTCGCCAACTATTACAGGTGGTCACGCTTTGTGCTATGAGGGAATTGTGCGGCCTATCTCTCAATCGGTGATGCCTCTAAAGCGCATGCTATTATAAGACTTCATCAAAGCGCGTTCGTTATACCTCTCAGTCAACTGATTCTCCATAAAGCAGCTTTACTCTGCCACGCAGCTTCTCGGTCACCCAACCCTATTAAGCGCATTCATTACATCACTCTGGCACGCAGCTCCTCGGTCACCTAACCCTATTAAGCGCATCCATTACACCACTCTGCAACGCATCTCCATGTTCACCTAACCCTATTAAGCATATGTATTATACACTCTGCCATGCAGCTCCTTGTTCACCTAACCCTATTAAGCGCATGCATTACACCACGTGGTCACATATCCCTATTAAGCACATGCATTCTACCACTCTGCCACCTATCCCTTAAAATTTATTTGTCAAACCATAGGCGTAGGAGCCGGGGGGGGGGGGGGGCATTTGCCCCCCATTAAAAATTTATTTTCGGGCAATGAAAAATTCGACGACCTTTTTTTTTCTATTAACATTTAGAGAAAAAATATAACTAACTTATTTCTATGAGATCCACACTGCCCGAAAAGTATTTTCTCGTCTTTTTCTTGTCCACTGCATGCCCGAAAATGTACCCGAAGCTCTCTTATGATATGTATGCCCGAAAAAACGGTATTGATTTCGGGCAATTTTCTCTTATGCCCCCTGAATTACTTTGAGCTCCTACGCCTATGGTCATACCACTCTGCCATACCGATTCTCTAAGTGTGTCTGGTATAATCTGAGATATTAAGGGAACTTACTCTGCTGTGTTTGTTGACAGGTAGGTCCAGTATAATCTGATGAACACTGGCAGCTGAAACTACCGAGACTGTTGACACATGTTCCACCATTCTGACATGGATTACTTAAACATTCATTCACGTCGGATTCACAGTTTCGTCCAGTATATCCAGTATTACATATACAGATATACGCAGTGCCAGATAACTATATAATACAGAGAGAAGAATCATGGAATTAAACAGTGCCAGATAACTATATAATACAGAGAGAAGAGAAATGAAATTAAAATAGGTTTAACATCCTACTTCCTGCATCAACCAGTCGGATGTATACGGGCATACAACTATATAATACAGAGAGAAGAGAACTGGAATAAAACAGGGTTTATCGCCCTACCTTCATACACCAATTGATCTGATATAGACAGACATACAACTAGATAATACAGAACTGCACCATATGGTCATACAAATGTTTAATACAGAGAAGAAAAATTAAATCTAAACTAATATTTGTGACTGTCGTTTGTCTGTCTGTTCGGGGTTGGCGGCTACACTAAATGCCCCGAGTCTGAAATTTGGGGTATAGGGGTAGCTCGGACCGGGGAGTAACATAGGCCAGGTGGCGTTAGTCTACTACTTCCGGTTTCGGGGTTATGACCCACGAGCGAAGCCGGGCATTCTTCTAGTATAATATAAAGGGGTATACACGTTTTACTTAGCAATGGGCATTTACTATGCAAAGTGGGTTTTGAGGGAATGTTTCATGGACAGCATCATTTCCATCCATGGTTCTTGTTCGTGCAGGCCAACGAGTATATTGGACCTCTGTATTTTGTCCCACCTGAACGACTAGAAGCAGTGACAGACAACTACATGATAGAGAACAAAAATGGAAAAGAAATTAAATGGGGTCCAGTTTCCTACTTTTATGCACCAAATGGGCTAATTTTGATAGGATACTTTCCTTGTCAACCGTGAAGGATGGGACACTTTCCTTGTCAATGGTGATGGATGAGTTACTTTCCTTGTCAACGGTGATGGGTGGGACTATTTCCTTGCCAACAGTAAAGGATGAGACACTTTCCTTGTCAACGGTGAAGAATGGGACACTTCCCTTGCCAACAGTGAAGAATGGGACACCTTCCTTGCCAACAGTGAAGGATGGTACCCTTTTCTTGCCAACAGTGAAGGATGGGACTCTTTCCTTGCCAACAGTAAAGGAGACGTACGTTAATTAATGTCGAATTATTATGAAAAGGTAGCATGTCTCTGATCGTGTATTACCAGTTTAATTTTCAAAAAACATTAAAACAGTTTATATTAAAACCAAAGTTGTCTGGATATCAGAGTGAAAACAAACCTGACAGGCTCCGCCATGTTGACATGGATTGGTAGCACATGGTCCAACTGTTGGTGTTTGTCTGATACAGCCTGTATTACCTACGCCATTACCAGCATACCCTGCTGGGCACGTACACGTTCTACCTGATATACCTGTTATATATAAACAATATAGCAATCAATCATAACAGATCAATATCTAGATAAATCAATATCAGACAGATCAATATCTAGACAGAACAATATCAGACAGATCAATATCTAGACAGAACAATATCATATCTAGACAGAATATAACAGATCAATATCTAGATAAATCAATATCTAGATGGAATATAACAGATCAATATCTAGATAAATCAATATCTAGATGGAATATAACAAATCAATATCTAGATGGAATATAACAGATCAATATCTAGATAAATCAATATCTAGATGGAATATAACAAATCAATATCTAGATAAATCAATATCTAGATGGAATATAACAAATCAATATCTAGACAGATCAGTATCTAGACGTGCACACCAACTAGACCCTGTTCCTTGTCAGGCCCACTATCCTACGCCACAGACAAGGGGAAACCTGTCCTACACCACTGACAAGATGAAACTTGAATCGAACCCTGGCGACCCTAGTTTCTGGGATTCTGTTACAGAGATTCGTGTAGTAATTTTTAACAGAATCAGGATTAAAATTATTTTACCTGGTGATTCCCGACACGTGGCTTGACTGTAACATCCACCATTATTTACGTTACAAACTCCAACCCAGGTACATGTAACTCCGTTACCTTGGTAACCTGTAATATACAGAAACTACATAAAAACTTAACTATTATGTTCTTTTAGTCAACTGTATTTGAAACTATGTCTGGTTACGTCATTTAGGAAAGTTAAACTAGGGCTTGCTAATGTTACTCACTTTATTAAGACAGGAACAACCAGCGGGAGAGAGAGAAAAATGGGGTTTAACATCCACTCGACACAAATTATGTAATTACCTGTGGGAGGAAACCAGAGAACCAGGATAAAACCCACGAGGTTGGATATAAGACCCTATTCCTTGTTGCTGTTAAGTGGGGAATCGAAACCACGCCACGGTTTAAACCACCCAGCCACCCGCATCCCTACCCACCCACCCCTAGAATAGACCAGACAAGACTAGAACAACCAGACTGTACAGAATTGAAGGACTAGAACAAACGAGAGTATACTAACATGAAGGACTAGAACAAACCAGACTATACTAACCTGAAAGACTAGAATAAACCAGGCAGTACTAACCTGAAAGACTAGAACAACCAGACTATACTAACCTGAAAGACTAAAACAACCAGACTGTACTAACCTGAAAGACTAGAACAACCAGACTATACTAACCTGACGGGCATGCACCACATCTTCTAGAACCTCGTGTATTAATACATTCGACTCGAGGAGCTTGTGAACAGCCACCATTACCAGTCAAACATTCATTGATATCCTGACACGTAAAACCATTTCCCGTATAACCTGGTAATATATTTTACAGTGTAATTAACAATATCCAGATATTATGGGAGAATTTCGGCCTGTCAGCAGCGGATCTTTAACATACTTTGCTTCAATAGCATACATGTTTTAGTGTTTTGTTTCGTTCATCCAAATGACTAAAATATTATAAATTATATCAGATAAAATTTGTATTGCCTACAAAATCAAAATGCCTACACTAGGCAGCATACAACATACTGTACATGATATACAGTCATGGGGATCCGCAGTGGCTCATTGAGTAAGCTGTTGATTTAAGGTCTTGTTTACGATCCCAGTGTTGGCCAAGAAGCTTCATCGGGGTTTTCTGGCATGGCTCACTCTTGTCAATGTTGCAGGATGGAGGGCCTGACAAGGGATAACACATAGCCTTTCAGTTGAGAAGAAGAATTGTAAAAGAACCCTTGCCGGTTGGAATTCAAAATACGAAAAGGCCGTAGCGTCGCCGCTGTCCGGACAATATTCCCCTCATTACCCATTGTATGGCGTATGTCCGTCTTCATTAGCCCAGTCAGAGCAGAAAAGAAGGATGTTAAACCTCATTTCATTTATACAATCATAACCTCACCTGAACACTGATCCTTATTGAGTGCATGTACAATACAGGTAATATGAGTGGTAGACAGATTCCTGTGTTCAGGTGATAATAATTTATAAGAACTTACCTGTAGGACATACACCACAACGGAAACTACCAGGTATATTTATACATGGTACTGGGGGATTTCGTGAACATGATGCTGCTTGAGCTGAACATTCATCAATATCAACAGTACAAGCAGGAGATGACGTACTCTTCGTCCAACCATCGTCACATATACATTTATATTTAGTCTGAAAGACAGATCAACAAGGTTTAACATCCAGTCCAATCTGGATAAAACACAGATCCTATTTCGTTTCGTTTTTATAGTTCAAAATTTCGTTTTACTTGTCTTAACTACACTTGGATCTGGAAGAGTTGTTATTTAACTCGTGTTCTGAATGGTGTCAGGGATAAGCCAATGAAACGGTCTGTCACGGCGAGCTTTATGCGTGTTTTGCACGGAACTGTGGGTAATCCACTCGTAACATCAATGCTGATTGGTTAATCAAATGTCTGACATCATAGGGTCATAAGTCGGTCTTTTTAACCCTGACGAAATATTGATTTGTATTTGAATCAGATTGCATCCGGTCTCAACACAACTAGAACATATCGAGATTAAAGACAGATCAAGAGAGAGAGAGAGAGAGAGAGAGAGAGAGAGGGGGGGTAACATCCACTCAACATAAACTAGGTCGTTTCTGAGACTAACATGTGGTCATGTGTTTAGCGCTGTATCATAAGTTTTGTCATAGAGTCAACTGGCGTGGTTTCGATTCCCCGGTTGTATGTGACAATGAGTAGGGTCGCCTATCCAACCTCGTGGGTTTTCTCCTGGTCCTCCGGTGTTCCCCCCCCTCACTGCTAAAGACCCGTACGCGCAAGCGAATTATTGAAATAAAATTGAACCATATGTTGGACCTGAAATGACCTAGTTTGTGTCGACTGGACGTTAAACCCCATTTCTCTCTATGACCGCAGGTTTATCTTGTAGATTTTGTTTTGCGTGTAGCGTGGTCCGCCTGTATCTTTCTATAATGTATCTTTAAAGAAAAATGTTGAACTTACTAGAATTTATCGCAGGTCAATTCCACTTGATAATTTTATTTTAAAATCAAGGCACAAACCTGATTGGACAGGACTCTTGCAACATTTACACAAGTTCCATGTCCACATAGTTCTGACTGTGAGGCTCCCGTACAATCATCGTGAGACTCCGTACAGCGTATTCCATGCCAGTTAGCAGCACATTGACAACTAAAAAATAATAACATCAAATATCTCTACAATATTTTACTTTGAAGTTACTGTTTGATGCATTTCTGGAAAAACATCTATTTTTTTTTAGCTTAAATATTATACTAAATAGTTTAGTTACAGGTGTCGTGTGTGTGAGTAAATAAAATAAAACCAAGTACGAACAATCCAAACCATTAGACAAAATACGAAGTCCTAAAAAAACGGTATAGGCAAAATAGTGTAATAAGACAAAATAGTGTAATCAGCATATGGACTGTTCACCGTGTACAAAATACACGACAAACAGTGGTAACAGGTGTCCGGAAGAGTAAGCTTACCCTGCCTGGCGCCACACCCGCCATAGTTGCATCCAAACTATTAGGCGAAATCTCGGTAAAATAGTGTCTTATATAGTTTTAATTATCAGTTGAAAATATGCTAGACAATTATTTTACTTTGGAGTACTGTTCGTTGCATTTCTGGACTAACATATGATTTAATTCTATTTCAATAATTCGATTGCATATAGGGGGTTTTCAGCAGTGGGAGGAAACCTGGGGACCTGAAGAAAACCCACGAGGTTGGACAGATGACAGTTCTCCTTGTCCCGTGCAAACAGGGAATCGAAACAAGACCGATTGACTCCCATGACGGACCTGACGATCTGATGCACAAAAATCCCCACCACCCCCGTTTAAGAAGGAGCTCTTTCTGCAGATAGGGCAATCCAAGTACAAAAAGATTAAATTTCTCCTCATCGTTGTCAGTAGTTACCATGGTTTCTACTGTTTATTATAATCAAACCTACCTGAAACTTCCAGGGGTATTTGTACAAGTTGCACCGTTCTGACATCCCATATCTGTTCCCGCATATATAGAACACTCGTTAACATCTGTTTCACAGTTATTACCCTAAAATATAAAACACATTTGTTTCACACCTATTACCCTAAAATATAAAACACTAATTAACATCTGTTTCACAGTTATTACCCTAAAATATAAAACACCCTAAAATATAGAACACCCATTAACATTTGTTTCACACCTATTACCCTAAAATATAAAACACTAATTAACATCTGTTTCACACCTATTACCCTAAAATATAGAACACCCTAAAATATAGAACACTAATTAACATCTGTTTCACATGTATTACTCTAAAATATAGAACACTAATTAACATCTGTTTCACACCTATTACCCTAAAATATAGAACACCCTAAAATATAGAACACTAATTAACATCTGTTTCACATGTATTACTCTAAAATATAGAACACTCATTAACATCTGTTTCACACATCAGTTTCACACGTATTACCCTAAAATATAGAACACCCATTAAAATCTGTTACACTATCTATTAATTTCAAACAACCATTTTCTTTATCTCTTTAACAGAAATTAGGTCCCAATCGCTACTCATCTTGTTGTTCTTCTTGGGGGGTACAGGGGGGGGGGGGCGAATTTTTTTAGCACGTCATTGAGTCAACTGGCGTGGTTCCGAATCCCCGGTTGTATGTCACAAGGAGTAGGGGCGCCTGTCCAACCTCGTGGGTTTTCTCCGGATCCCTACGGGCAAAGAAATTTTTGAAATAAAATTGAACCATGTGTTAGTCCCGAAATGACCTAGTTTGTGTCGCGTGGACGTTAAACCTCATTTCTCTCTCCCCCCCCCCCCCCTCTCTCTCTCTCTTTTTGATATGACGTTACATTTCCAAAATGGCTGCGATGAGTGAATTCTTTCCGACCTCAAATTGTGCTTTATTTACATAATGAAAGGTTTTTTTTGTCATCTTCTGTCAAGTTATCATTAAAATATTTGGTAAATAACAAAAAAAGAAGATTACCTGCCAAGCGTTGGGACATTTACAAATAAAACCATTAAACAGATCCAGGCATGTACCGCCATTACGACACGGGTTACTATTACATTCATTATTGGTTAATAACTGAAATATAAAAATATAGATTTTATAATCAACAGCTTTATGTTTCAGAGAGAGAGAGAGATGGGAATTTACCATCCACTCGACGCAAACTAGATCCTTTTGGAAATAACACATGGTTCAATTTTACATCAATATTTCGCTTGCAGGTTTCAGCAGTGAGAGGAAACCGCGGGACTCGGAGAAAACCCGCAAGGCTGGACAGACGACCCTACTATGTGTCATGTTCAAGCGGGGAATAGAAACCACGCCACTTGACTCAATCACAAGAAATTAAGGAAAAGTCAACATGAAATATTGGTTATAAAAGGGTGTAAAATTCTCTTACCTCGGTTAAGTGGTCAACGGTAGTTTTTAAAGTGTTAACCTGGAAAAATAACATACAAAAAGTGCAAGATATAGAACCTTGCCAATATGGTCGACTTTAATATATAAAACCATGTCAATATGGTCGATTTTAATATACAACCATGCCAATATGGCCGTCGTTAATATACAACCATGCCAGTATGGCCGACGTTAATATGTATAACCATGTCAATATGGCCGACTTTATTATATACTGCCATGTCAATATGGCCGACTTTAATATCATGTCAATATGGCCGACTTTAATATACTACCATGTCAATATGGCCGACTCTAATATAAACAATCATTGTCAATATGGCCGATTTTAAAAGACTAGTATGTCAATATATCATTTAAAAATGGCCGTCAGTAAATATATATAAAATCTCTAACATTCACAAAGTGTTAACAACATCTCTTTGATATGGTAAAATAAAATCGTGCAGTTTATAGGATTATTTAAAGCTGTGTTGATTTGTGGGCTGACAATCTAAAGACAAGGCGTATTTATAAATAGTTTAGTTTTGATTTTCAGTGGAAAATTTGCTAGACAAATTAATTATTTTTCTGAAAGTAAGTGGATCATGTAGTCAAGAAATGTATGTTATAATCTAGAATGCAGGCACGAATCCAGAGAGGTGTCCATGGGATCTGGACCTCCTCCTGCTCAGGCTTAATTTGAGGGGCCTAGGGCCACAAATGATCAATAATGGCATCTACAGCGTTCAATTTCTTCAAATTTGACTTTTGCGTCTATGAGACAGACAAATTGTCACTACACTTCAATATGAAAATTCGTGATCCGCCCCTGGAATATTATCGCTAAACACACATAATAACTCCATAGGCTTTCATTGTCAATTTGATACGACATCAAATCCACACTAAGTAGCGCCATACAAATCCTTATGTTATGAAGTTATCTTAAACTTGTAGATGACCATTTTTTTCTTTTTTTTATTAAAAGGGAACTATTTCTATTTAATTGCCCTTGATGGAAACACTGGGTCTATAAAGGATTTCGTAATGGTTGAATTGCTGTCAATAAAATGATGTATCACTACGCTGTAATGTAATCAGGTTCAGTAAAAGTGAAATCAATATCAAAGAATTATATGGGTGATAAATAAAATCTCCCACTCGTGTGTTTTGATATGAAAAAATATCAACACTTGTCGACAAAGAAAAAAACCTCGACAAAGCCTCGTTTATTTTGACTTGTGTTGATATTTTTTGATGTCAAAAAGACTCACAGTCTTGTTTCTTTGACTACGGCAGGACTAAACACTATCGCTATAAAAATATCAATTATTCATTTATACTGTTGTTGACATGGGGAATATTGACCTGGTTATGAATTGTGATACGAATCATATCGTAGTATATGAATCGCTATCGTATTATGACTACAGTCGCAATAACGAGCACTGCAGCACTCTGATTAAAATACAGATTTATATTTCGTTTCGTATATTCTAAGTCGTGTATTTTGTACACGGTGAACAGTCCATATGCTGAGTACACTATTTTGCCTTATTACACTATTTTGCCTATACCGTTTTTGTTTTTTAGGACTTCGAATTTTGTCTAATGGTTTGGATTGTTCGTACTTGGTTTTATTTTATTAAGACTTTTCATGGCGTGCACCCCATGAAGATCTGACCGGTTGTAGTGGTAGGTCGTGTCGAGGGTCATACTTATAGGGGCTTTTGACCCTATCACGTCACTTAGTCGATAAACCAATCAGTGTCTGCGTTTTAAGTACAAATTTTGCTTTGATTTGCTATCTATCGCTGCAACTGTCTACCCACAGTCTATTGTGCTATCCGACAAAAACTTGACCCAACAGACCATCTGATTGGCTAATCCCTCACATCAACCAAAAGACGGATAAATTAACAACTCTTCCAGATCCTAGTGTAGTGAAGACAAGTAAAATGAAATTTTGAACTATAAAAAAAACGAAACGAAATAGAATCTGTGTTTTAATCAGATTGAACATGTAGTTTATAAAATAATGAAAACACATAATGCTGGCGTCACAAAGTTTTCTGGCATCAGAGTATGTGCATCCATTAATAATAACCATTTACATGCAAGGAAATATTTTTGAGAATATTTAATTGATGGCCATGCATGTGCATTATCATGCATTTTACCCGAGAGTTTAATCTGCGTATTGATCTCGATATTAATCTACCTCGTCCTCTCCTTCGAGTCTGGTGGATATAAAAATTAAAACAGATTTTGATAATTATAGATTAAATTCACAGTTTTGGTTCAATTTTAATAAAATATTCACTTATTGAACATAACATAACTCACAGGTTTGCTACTGACAATTTTCAAAATAACTTTTGATGCATTGAGGCAATTTGATATAAAATGAAATGGGGTTTAACATTCTACTCTTCTGCGCAACAAGGGAACTAATTAAAGATTGACATATGAGGGCTGGGAAGCTACAGAAAGGAAAGCCTAGCACGGAACAGCGTCTAGTTCATCAGATGGGATGAAAACCAAAATCTTGTTTACACGTCGAAAGTTGGAATTTAATGAAGAGTAGACAGAAACGCTGGTTGCCGGGCAACATAACCCTTACACAACATGTGGTGTACAACCATCTTCGTTAGCCCCGCTGGTGCAGAAACGCTGGTTGCCGGGCAACATAACTCTCATACCACAACATGTGGTGTGCAGCCATCTTCGTTGGCCTTGTTGGCGCAGAAACGTTTGTTGCCAGGCAACATAACTCTTATACCACAACATGTGGTGTATGCACATCTTCGTTAGCCTTGTTCGTGCAGAAACGTTGGTTGCCGAGCAACCAGATGGGTTTATAAGAAACCTACCCGTCTTTCTACTGCTGAGATTCTGCTAGTTATTGTATTAAGTTGTGATTTAATGGCACCTGTTGGTAGATTCAGACTATTCTCAACAGCTGATAATCTCGTGTTAATGGTCGTTGGTACCTGGAGAAAAAAGATTAATTAGATCAGGTGGGATATATTATTGAACAGCTGATAATCTCGTGTTAACGGTCGTTGGTACCTGGAGAAAAAAGATTAATTAGATCAGCTGGGATATATTATTGAACAGCTGATAATCTCGTGTTAACGGTCGTTGGTACCTGGATAAAAAAAGATTAATTAGATCAGGTGGGATATATTATTGAACAGCTGATAATCTCGTGTTAATGGTCGTTGGTACCTGGAGAAAAAAGATTAATTAGATCAGGTGGGATATATTATTGAACAGCTGATAATCTTGTGTTAACGGTCGTTGGTACCTGGAGAAAAAAGATTAATTAGATCAGCTGGGATATATTATTGAACAGCTGATAATCTCGTGTTAACGGTCGTTGGTACCTGGAGAAAAAAGATTAATTAGATCAGCTGGGATATATTATTGAACAGCTGATAATCTCGTGTTAACGGTCGTTGGTACCTGGAGAAAAAAGATTAATTAGATCAGGTGGGATATATTATTGAACAGCTGATAATCTCGTGTTAATGGTCGTTGGTACCTGGAGAAAAAAGATTAATTAGATCAGGTGGGATATATTATTGAACAGCTGATAATCTTGTGTTAACGGTCGTTGGTACCTGGAGAAAAAAGATTAATTAGATCAGGTGGGATATATTATTGAACAGCTGATAATCTCGTGTTAACGGTCGTTAGTACCTGGAGAAAAAATATTAATTAGATCAGGTAGATTATATTATTTAACCTTATTTAATGCAGACGGACCCCATTTCAATATCCCTCCCTAACTGCGTTCGGCGCGGGATAATAAAAATAAAAGTGATCAAATACAGATGGAATTCTAAAAAGAGCTAAGTCTAACATATCAAGGGCTGTGTCGCTGCAATAGTCGCCTAGCAATAACTTACTGATAGGAAACTGAATGTAAGTGATTTTTTGGATTATATCAGAAGAAATGGCAATGTGATAAGATGAACTTTCACGAAAAGCTTACAGATGGAATTCTAAAAAGAGCTAAGTCTAACATATCAAGGGCAGTGTCGCTGCAATAGTCGCCTAGCAATAACTTACTGTTAGGAAACTGAATGTAAGTGATTTTTTGGATTATATCAGAAGAAATAGCCATGTGATAAGGTGAACTTTCACGAAAAGCTTAGCCATGAAGGTTAAAGCTACCCTGTTACAGTAAAAGTCTACAAAAGATGACCTAAAGATGTCGAACACAGACAAATTATCCCACCCCTAAGAAGAGCGACACTAATTAAAGTTTTACTGGTAGAAAACCTCAAAACTGTACTATACAAATATGCTGGGTTGGCCTAGGTGTTTGGTCCAGTCCATGACAAGGGCAGCTGTCTAGTCCTTCGGATGAAACGAAAAACCGAGGTCCGGTGTATATATTGGAATGCATGTAAAAGATCCCCTGGCAACATTTCCCTCATAGCACACTGTATGGCATATGCCCGTCTTCATTAGCCTAGGGAGCAGAACAGTAGGGCGTTAAACCCCATTTCATTTCATTTCATTTCATTTGGTCCAGTCCAGACAAGGAAATACTTTCTGTAGGCCAGCCCCTTGTGCGCTACCACTGAAAATGCCTCAGATTCTTCACGGACCACGTGGACAACTGCGGCGCCCAAATAAAATACAAAGGTTTTATATCTTGGTTATATTTATCAGAGATACGAAAGAGAAACTTACTGCATTTTGATATGTAGTCAGATCATTTGTAAGACTGGTTAATTGAGTAGCAACAGTTCCAGTTGGTTGCAGATTATCCAGTCTGTTGGTTAATTCTGTTAAACGCTGCCCGACATTATCAGGAATCTAAAATAAATTAATTTGTAAAATTATATACACTGTAAGATGAATTGACACCATCCGAAATTATAGCCATATATTGTTCATATCTCTCTCTATCTCTCTCTCTCTCTCTCTCGTCAGATTAAAACACAGATCCTATTTCGTTTCGTTTTTTATAGTTAAAAATTTCGTTTTACTTGTTTTCTCAATATTAGAATCTGGAAGTGTTGTTATATAAAAGGCGTTCTAGTTGGCGTGAGGAATTAGCCAATGAAACGGTCTGTTACGGCGAGTTGTTGGCGTGCTCTACGCGGAACTGTGGGTAAACCCCTAAAAATCTCAACGCTGATTGATTAATCAATATCTGACGTCATAGGGTGACAAGTCGCTCGTATG